ATAAAATAGTTCACATTTTGAAAGTTTCCAGTTATTATTTCATAGAATTAGAAAGTACCTCATTTGCATGTGAGAAAACTAAGGGCCAAAGAAGTCAAGTCACCCTCATGTTGGACCTTGGACTGAAAGCCCGGTGTTGCCAATTCTCTTCTCACTGACGGCACTGCCATTGGGGCCACCTTCATAGGTACCGTGGATAGGGGAACACCTAGTGGGCAACTCGGGAGTTTAGGGTTGCTCCTGTCTTCATAGCAAAATCTCCTTTATTGCTTGAGATTCCCCCTTCCCTTGGGTGGAATTCAAGGAGTCCATTTGGAGATGGATTCATAACCATTTGTTCTTGAGAAATGGAGGCCTTTGACATCCCAAAAGAAAGGGAAGAGGAGAGGGAAAAAAAAACCTGATTACCTGTCCCTGTTTCCCTTTTTTAATGTTTCATACCTGGTAAGTTCTTCCTGGTGTCTAACCTAATGAAAACCTGTCATCTGTGCAGTTTAGTGGCAAAGGAAAGAAACTCCAGCCAGGCATTCTGTGTGCTCACTTAATCCTGAGGATTTCAGAGCTCTCGACAAGCAGGGGAAACCCTTGAGCCTTCCTTCCTCCTCCTGTGCTATCTTCAGTGGGCATGGGAGAAGTAATTTAACTTGCAAGTTAAGCAAAGGCTGTGGGAGGCCCCTGAGCTCAAATTGAAGGGAAAGGGATATTTTTGCCTTCTAGAGGAAGAAAACTCATTTCCCAAGGCACCTCCACCCCTCCTTCTGTGCAGATGAGCTTAATTTTCTTCCCCTCCTAATGAAGATGGATCAAAGCCAAGCTATATATTCAAGGGGGAGCCAGGCAGGGGAGCTAAGTGAAGGGGTGAGGGGACAAAAACAGAGCTGCTCTCATGGAGAGGAAGTAATTAATTTTAAGAGAGAGCAAAGATAGGGAAGCCCTTGGTAATAGAATGTTAAAAACTCCAAATGCAGGTGGCTAAAAATTAAATCAGAGCATATGGAGTTTCTTTTGTTCATTCATTCATTCACTTATTCATTCAACAAATATTTATTGGGTACCTACTGTGCACAGGCAGAGACCCCAAGCGGGCATCAGGAGAGGGCCCAGCTCTCCATAACCACAGCAGGGCTCCAGTAACTGGATTAGGGACTGGAGAGGTGGGATCTGGAAAGTGAAGCCACTTGTCATCAGGATAAAGCATTTGCAGATGTACCACTAAATGGCTGAATATATTGACCTTTGGATTTAGGATTAGTTGCTTAAGTATCAGCAGCTGTTGACCCCAGCTATATCCACCCAGCTTGACTCATCACGGGTTAAATAATTATGTTGTCCTTTTCCATTCACTGATTGCTTTGTTCTCTGACTGAGTTCTGTCCTCAATCCAAAAAATTAGATTAGCTCCTCCCTTTCAGTGTCTGTTGACATCACAAAATTGCCATAACAACAGACTATGATGTCACCAGAATGCCTGGTGCTGCTGAAAGGAACCACATTGGTCAGAAAGACTTCTGTCATCCAAAGATAAAAATGGAATGATATCAAAAGCCAGAGGAACTGAAATTTGATATCAGAAAAGAACATCTAGGCAGTATAAGATAACAGTGGGTCCGGAGCTTCCTTTCCTGGAACCCTTCACAAACAAACAAGGCACTTACTGAGACTGATTGGAGAGCAGGCTTGCCTGGAGGCAGGGGCTTGGAAGAGATGACCTTCAGAAGCCCCTTGCGTGGAGGGCCCTAAGACACAGAGGACGTTAGGAAAAGGAGAGATGTGACCATCTTGGATCTCTGGAGAGTTCAGAGTAGCTAACAACGATGCAAACCTCCCTGCCCCGAGCAGATCTGACAGTTTCCAGCTGGAATTTATTACATTGCAGCTGGGCAGATTTACAGAAATAAACACATGGTGACCCCGTCTGAGCCTCATTTGCTACCCTCTTCCTCCTAAGATTTGGGAAGAAGCTTTTCCTCCATTTCACCCGAGCAGAGAAGCCAGTCTTCGCCACCAGCTCTGGCTCCGTGACACCCACGCCCATGTGCTTCGCTCGCCCTTCATCTGCTGGGCCACCCCAAGAGGAGGGCAGGCAACCTGGGGCTGTCTAAAGGGAGTGTGTAGGGGGCGCTGCAGACAAGCTTCGTGTTCATGATGCTCCTGTCCGTACAGAGGGCTGGGCAGGCTGGGAGGAGAGAGAGCTTCCCGGCATCGGCAGCAACGACAATAGCAGCACGTGAATCTGGAGGCTCATTTAACCCTTGTGCCCACTGGGTCGGAAGGGTCTCTCTGAAGCAAGTGGATTTCAGCCCAAGGGCCTGTGTTCTGGGCGAGGGGAGGCAGGGAGGGCTGTCTTCCTGCAGGTTGGGCTGGCATGGGTTTCTGCCGTGCAGATGGGAATACAGCCCCAGACTCCTCCGTCTGCCCAGCTACTCTGTGTCCTTAGCTCGGTGAGGTCAGACTACCTGGAAGTTGTACACCTGCTCCGTGTACTCCGTCTCTCCATTTTTGCATTTTCTCCTTGGGCACCTGAACTGAGAAGATGTCATCCCCTGCTCACTTATTCTGCCTCTGGCACTCTGCCGGGCAGCGTTCTGTCTGAATGCTGGGAAGCTGCAGGCCCCCTAGGGCACCTGGGCACCCCTACCACCAAGGGGCCCTCCCCCTTCCTGGTGCTGGAGCCAGGAGGAGGGGAAAGAGCAGCGCCTGCCGCTGCCACGTGCACCTGGAGCTCAGCCACGGCACGGCGAGCCAGACCGGAGGACTTACTTCTCAGAGGGATGGTACGAGCAGGGTGGCTGGTGGGTCCTCTGAGGCTGCCAAACAGGGGACAAAGCTGCCTAAAAGATGTTGAAGTTTCGAGCTGATCGACGGGTCAGGTAGGGATTTCTTCAGTGGGCTGTGAGTCAAGTGAAGTGAGAGCTGAGTGGGCAGGTCACTGGATCCGGGGGCGGCAGAGTGAGGGGCCTGCCCCGTGTGACCTGGAGAAGGGAGAGCCGTTAGGTCAATGGTTGCTGCATTGCAGTGCTTGTGAAGGGGAAGCTGTTTTGAAATTGGTAGCGCCGGGATGGAGCGAGGACATCATTTGTAGGGGTGACTGGGTAGGAGAGTCTGGGGCAGGAAGAAATTTGGTGTCCTCTGAAAGACTTGTACCAGCTGACAGCAGACTGTGTGTGTGCCTCTGTGTGTGTCTGTCTCTCCGTCCATCTATCCATCTGTACCAGTGCCTGCAGGAAAGGTTCCAGCCGAGCTGGCACGGGGATTGTGTACAGCAGAATGGGCCGAAGGGGACGGAATGGGTGGAGGGGTGTCGGGGGGCAGGTGATCTGTGCCACTGGGAAACAGCAGAGACCTTGGTGCCTCAGAAATCTTAGCTGTCACAGACTGCCTGCCCCCACCCCTAGATGAGGCAGAGCCAGGGATGAGGGTGACTGGAAACGGCTACTGTTCCTTGCAAAGATCCCCTGGGGTTAAGTTGAGGAGAGCATCCTTATTGGACCTGGGAAGAAGGGAGGAGTAGAGTTTGAGAAGCAGGGAGCGGGTTATCAATGTGCTAGAGTTAGAACCCAGGCCGAATAGACACTGGCCAGATTTAGGGTCCTGGCTGCAAAACCAGATTTCCACAGAGGCTGTGGCCACTGCCCACTGGGCTTCTGTCTCCCACATGTCTTTGGATTCGATCTGAACATGACTGGTTTGGAAGCTGAAAAAATACCCTCCGATATGATCTTTAGCTTCAGCAGACATCTTAAGGGCTGGGAAGTGTCCTTGGCGATGGAAGGGTGCTCTCCAAAAGGTTGTTTTACTTCTCTCATGCAGCTGAAGGGACCACACTGTTTTCCCCTGGTGCTAGCTAACCTGCCACTTGCCAAGCAGAGCGCTGGCCCTTTGCTGTGGGCGTGCGTGGTGGCCTGGTACTAAGACCCACAAGCCGCCGTGCAGCCTTGGTAGGCTCTGTGCAGGCACCAGCTTCTGGGGGTGGACTGAGCATGCTCTGGGCTCTCACAGTATCTCCCAAGAGGGGTAGGTGAAGAGGACCTTAAAATTGTTCCAGCCCCCCGCTGGCTGCACGCTTGAATCTCCCACAGCTTTCTTGCCAGGTGGCCCTCTGCTTTCAGAAATCATCTCAAACTGCTGCCATGTATGGCTTAGACCCTCTGCACCAGCCCCTCCCTAAGCTCTGTCCGCTGCCCTTCCTCCCTTACCTCCCTGCAGAGCCACCGGGAGCTAGCGTGGAAGCCAGCCAGCCAGAAGAGCCACAGCTCCCAAGGGAGCCTCCCATCTGCCTCTGCACAGACCCCGGCCCTGGCCCATGTTCGCCCCTGCTTCCTGGCAGGCTGTCCGCACTACCCTCCCCGGCCACAGCATCCCTTAATTAGATCTGACTGAGAGCCAGCACTCACCTCCATGCTGGACAGCTCCTGAGGTGTCGGCTAGTCAGGTAGCCCCTAGACGGGGAGGCCCTGGACTTGGGGTGTGAGTGGAGCCCAGCCCAAGCTCAAGGATGGAATTTCTGGATGTCTCATTTCATTTGAAGAAAGAGATAGAGCAGGAGAGGAAGGAGTCCAAGGTTGCAAGAGAAATCTTTTAGCAAATAATGAGTGAGCGGTTTTTATGTGGAGCCCTGGCAGGAGTTGTCCCTGGGAGGAAACCAGCCAAACACCAAGTCTTGACTATTGGAGCCCCTCCCCGCCCCCCACATACACGCCCAGGATGGCCACTGAAAGGGTTAAGTGGGGTTTCTTTCCAGCCTGGGGATCTCTAGTAAGTAATTAACACTGTCAGAAAGACATCTTCCTGCCCCCTCCCCTCCCCTCCCCTCCCCTCCCCAAATGACCTTCTACAGCCCAGCCCTCTGTCTTGCGGCTTACGGTCCCACTGGAGGACAGAGCAACGAGCTCCTGTGTGGTCGCCATCCCTGTCACTGCCTAGGGCCTGTCCACCCTTTAGCCTGTGTCTCTGCCTTCTTCGTCTTGACCACAGCTTCTCTCTCTCTTTTGCCTCCACAGCCATAATGAAAGACGGAACACATTTCTACACCCACTGACCGGCCAGGTCCCAGAGGAAAACAAAAAGTTTGATTTGAAAATGTACGTTTACCCCTTACTTGCTGTTTGGCCTTTCTGTCCTTAACCACCATCATCCCGCTGCCTCTGTGTAGCTAGGAAGAGGAAGGGCAGCGGACAGAGTGGGGGTCAGAAAGGAGAGCAGGAGAGGTTTAGGGTCGCTCACCTCAGTTCTGAGGACTGGAAACTCCTGAGACCCATCTGGCTTGATACCCTCAACCACTTTTTCTGGAATCTTGCAGGTCCCAGGTTAGTGCATCCCATGGGCCGAGCTAAAGGAGTGAGACATGTCTGAGGCTGGCATATCAATCACCAGGGGCCTCTGAGGAGAGCAGTGAGGGAATCCGCTATGACCACGAGAGCCAAATGCTAATTCCTCTGATGTTGGCTCAGTAAATGAAAGGAAAAAAAGATAATTAAATGACTCTCACAGGCCGAGTTCCAGAGTCCTAGGGTCTAGGTTTTTAAGATAAATTTGCAGGAAAAAAAGAGGAGACTGTCCAGGGTTACTGGCATATAATCTCGGAAAAGCAGCGGCAGCCGCTGAGAGGACCCCTCGGGAGCACTGAGGGGACCTAATTTGTGCTGAATGCTGGAACGGTGAAGGGCAGGGTTGGGAAAAGGGATGGGTGGCACCCATTGTCTCTTGGTCTCACTAGTCACTTCTTTTTTGGTCAACTTGAAATCAGATCGACCTTGGACATGTCCAATAAAACAGGTGGGAAACGCCCAACTACCGCCAACAGTGACCTATCCAACCACAACATGGTGTCCGAGGTCCCTCCAGAGCGGCCCAGTGTCCGGGTAAGTCCGGTCCCCCACGCAAGCTGCTGGGGAGGAATCCTAGGAAACGTATTAGGCTGCTTACTTTTTTCTGCAGGTTCCAAAGAGCAGGTGACGTGATGCAGGAAGTGGAGAGTGGGGAGGAAAGAGGGCTCAGACCAGAACCATACAGAAGACCAACATCTAGACCAGGGGTTCTCAGCCTTAGCACTATTAGCATTGGGGGCTGGATAATTCTTTGTAGTGTGGGACCATTCTTTCTCTGTAGCATGTTAAGCAGCAGCCCTGGCCTCTACCCACTAGATGCCAGTAGCCCCCACCCTGTGACAACCAAAAATGTCTCCAGACATTGTCAAATGCCCCCTGTGGGACAAAATTTCCCCACCCTCACTGAGAACCACTGATCTAGGGGGACAGCGAAAGAAGAATAACTCATGAAGAATGGCAATTGGGTGCTCAGAAAGGAGGAGGAAGGAAGAGACCATCAGGAGGAAGTAATCAGAGAAGAATGTTGCAAAGAGGTCCAGTAAGATAAGGGCTAAAAGTATCCATGGGGTTTAGCAACATCGTGGTAATTGGAGACCCTGATAAGAGCAGTTCAGTGGTGTGAGGAGCACAGAAGACAAAGACAAGCTGGAGAGGGCTTAAGAGGAGATGGGAGGGCGGATACAGGACACTGAAGAGTAGAAAACTGCTCTTCTATGAAACTAGATAGGGCTGCGCGTAAAAAAAAAAAAAAGAAAGAAAGAAAGAAACTAGATAGTAAATGGGAGTGTAGTCATACAATGGAGGACTCTCCAAAAATTAAAAATGGACTGGAGCGAGCTGTATAACAAGGATGAACCTTAACAACATAATGCTGAGGAAAAAGCAAGTTGTAGGATATGAAAAACATGGTATCATTTATGTAAAATGTACAAACATGAAAAGTAATTCAGCGTTTTTATAGATAAGCTTGCAGTACAGACATATAACCATGGACAGGCATACTAATTTGTGGTCAGTGGTCACCTCTAGGAAGGAAGAAAAGGTAATGAGATTGGGGAGTGGGTTCAAAGGGAGTTTCAGCTCTATTTGTTATGTTTTATTAGGGAAAGAAAACAACATGCAGTGGTGATTTAGTCCCTTCTTTTCTGAAATGTTTGAAATATTTCAAAAAAATTTTTTAAAGAAACTTGACCGTGAAGGGAAATGAGGGGTGGAGGGTAGCAGCTAGGAGATATGCAAGATGCAGGGAGGTTTTCTTTGTTTATTTTGTTTTGTTTCAAAGTGTTAAGGGTAGGAGGGGAATGACCCAGTAGGTAGTTTCAGGAGAAAGGGCATCGCCAATGAGTCATGTTTGTGTAGAGACAGGAGTCAGGTGCAAAGGTGCTGTCAGCCTGGATAGGGGAGGGGCCCTCTTCCTGAGGCTGTGTAAGATAGGTACGTGAAACGTGGCGGTGGGGCTAGGAAGTTCAAGACGCTCCCACCTGTTGTTTTCAACTTTTGCAGGGAAGTAGGAGGTAGGGTTTTCTGCTGAGAAGAGTGGGGTTGATAGAGAGGCATTGGGGGGTGGGGGGCTTCAGAATAAGCCCAAGGGTCAGTGGTCAACAAGGAACATTTGGAATATTGCCCAATAATACTGAAGGGTCATCTGAGGTCATAGACTGAATCTGTGTGGCTCTGATCCACAGGTGTGTGTGGTTTTTCTCCAGCAATGCTATGGCCTGGCAGATGGTTGCATTGACCTAAGGTTGAGGGTTGCTGGGAAGCTGTGGCAGAAAGATAAGGAGGCTAGAGTATTACTGAGGGGTTGGCAGGGGAATGGCTGAAGTGGCAGGGAGCAGCTTTTGTTTTTTTTTTTTTTTTTTTTTTTTTTTGGGGAGCAGCTTTTAGGCTGCAGAGAGCAGGTGAAACTATGACAGATGACGGACTGAGAGAAAAGGGAAAGATTTTAGGATTTACATATTCTGAGGGTGGTGGATGGCTGCTTCAGATGGCTGATCTCCGCCATTATATGTGGGTTTTTACAAGTAAAGTACAGAAAGTAATTTCATTTTCCAGTTTGGGAGGTACTTTATGATAAACCCCAGTTTCTTCTTTCCTTCCTTCTACAAGTATTTACTAAATGCTTATTGATAGCTGGACACCTTGCTAGGCTCTGGTGATAAAGAGATGAACAAAACAAAATTTCTCCCTACAAAGAGCTCCCAGTCTCGTACGGGAGACAGAAAGTCCACAGTTCTGTTGCAGTGCGACAGATTCTAGACTATGGGAAGTTTCTGAGAAGAGGGAGCAGCAACTACTCTGGGAGAACAGGGGGGTTTCGGGGACTGAGTTGGGATTTGGTAGTGGACAAGGGAAGTGGGGTTCCCCTGCCTCCCATGGTGAGCAAAGCCCTAGGGAGATGGGAGAGAACCACTCGGAGTTTGGCATGACCAGCGGTGGTGCCTTTCCGGTGGAGTGGCAGAAAGTGGGTGGTGGCCCAGCCAGATCTTGTAGACCTGTCCTTGTGTGCTGGGCTGAGGATTGGAATTCTCTCCTAAGTGACGAGAGGTAGTGAGAAATTTTAAGCAGAAGAGATGACAACCCGTGAGACACCAACAGCGGCATTGGAGAAGAAAGGACAGGCTTGAGATCCATTAAGAAGACAGACTTGTCAGCCCTGCGTAAATGGTGGTGTGGAGGAATGGAGGGAGGAGGGGATGGTGTGAGCTTGTTCAGAGTTCTGGTTTGGGCCACTGGGTAGATTGTGGCCCAGTCACTGAGATGAGAACTACGGAAGAACCAGTTGGTTAGAAAGAGGATGAGTTTGGTTCTGCGCTTATTTAATCCTAGTTGGACAACTAGTGAGCAAATGGACTGGGACAAATGAATCTATATCTAGATTCATTCTAGCAAATGAATCTAGATATAGATTAGGGAGTTTTCAGCATATTGCTGGCAGCTGAGGCAATGGGTATGGATGACATTACATAGGCACAATGTATGACGAGACTAAAAGCGTAAGTTTGAGGTCTGTCAACACTTAGAGTGGAGGTGGAGATTGAGAAGGACTGGCCACAGATGCAAATATCGAAGAGTAAGGAATAGAGCCCCAGAAACCAAAAGAAGAGTTCCGGGAAGGACAGAAAGCTTCACATTATCGGTGCTTAAGAATGTCAGGGACTGAGTGGCCTGAGTTGACATTGCAGGGACCATTTCTGAAAAGAGTGGAGGAGGTTTAGGAGTAAAGGCAGGAGAGGAAGTCAGGACTCTTCCCAGCAGCCTACCTCTGAGGAGAAAGAGAGGGAAGGGAGGGAAGGTGTTACCTGACGGGGACAGCTGGTGGAGGGTGGAGGGGGCCGTCAGGTGTTTGTGAGTGCATGAGGGACAGTGAGAGGAGGAGAGAGAACGACTGAGAGAGACAGAGACAGACAGTGAGAGAGAGACAGACAGACAGAGGGATGCTTTAAGATGAAGAGAGCTGAGCATGTTTGCTTAGGAGAAGCAGCCAGTGGAGGAGGAAAACATGAAGACAGATTTGAGAGGTTATCAATGAAGCAAGTCTCAGAGGAGACAGCAGGCTGGGCCCGATAGCCTTGGAAAGGAGGAAAACACCTCTTCTTCTGACATTGAAGGGAAAGAGACAAGGAGAGTGGTAAGGGCAGTAATTTTCTGGGTAAAAGGGTGTGAAATTGAGGAAGCGCGTGTCTGACAACCTCAATTTTCTCTGTGGGGGCGGATCCAAGCCACTGCGGGGAAGGCAGCGGCGGGCAGGTCGCTGGGCTCGGGAGAGAGGTGAGGGTGTGCAGCGGAGCGCCGGGGAATGAGGGGCCACGGTGGCCTCATCTGTACTGTGGTGTGGTTGTTCTCCAGCAGCACTGTAGTCTGGCTGTGAGTGCAGGGAGGGTGACTAATTTGATTAATCGGGGATTTAGAGTTTCAGAGAAGATCAAGTGGAAAGGCACTGGATAGGGTGTTGGTGTTGGACAGTGCGGTTCATCTGTTCCACTAGGGGGCCTATTTGTAGGGAAACAACTAACACCAGGAGGTAGCTCATGGATCCAGGAAAAAAAGGCAAGTATTGAGGAGTTGGGGATCTCAATGGAGTAGAAAAGCTGGTGTCGTTTAGGGATGGAGTGAGACAGCCCAGAGGATGGGATGCTGTGCTCAGAAGATAGGGATATGAGAATTGACAGGGGCTTGGGAGCTGGCCAAGTCTAAGGTGTTGCCATGGGAGTGAGTGGCTGGGCTGGAAGTGGAGGATTTTGGACTTGAGGACATCAAGGTAGTTTAAAGTTAGGCCACTGGATGGGTCATCCTCCCTCTCACTGTGGAACAATGAAATTGTCCACAGTGATGGCAAGATTTAGAATGGAGAGGATGACTGATATCAAAATCCTTAGACTCGGGCTTCCCTGGTGGCGCAGTGGTAGAGAGTCCGCCTGCCGATGCAGGGGACACGGGTTCGTGCCCCGGTCTGGGAAGATCCCACGTGCCGTGGGGTGGCTTGGCCCGTGAGCCATGGCCGCTAAGCCTGCGCGTCCGGAGCCTGTGCTCTGCAACGGGAGAGGCCACAACAGTGAGAGGCCCGCGTACCGCAAAAAAAAAAAAAAATCCTTAGACTCTGAAAAAAGAAGCTAGAAGCTGATAGTGGTGAGAAGGGCTAAACAGTGAAAGATCACTGATACTTCGAGAAAGAGAGATTGTTGCCAGAATGTGGGGAAGTCCCAGTGGCAATAAGGAGCTAGGAGAACACCCATACATCCTCCCTGCTCTGTGGTGTGCTGGACATTCAAGAATGAATAGGGGGCTTCCCTGGTGGCACAGTGATTAAGAATCCGCCTGCCAAATGCAGGGGACACGGATTCGAGCCCTGGTCCGGGAAGATCCCACGTGCTGCGGAGCACCTAAGTCCCTGCTCCACAACTCCTGAGCCTGCGCTCTAGAGCCCGCGAGCCACAACTACTGAGCCCATGTGCCACAACTACTGATGCACGCCTGGAGCCTGTGCTCCACAACAGGAGAAGCCACTGCACTGAGAAGCCTGCACCCTGCAGTGAAGACCCAACACAACCAAAAATAAATAAATTAAATAAATACACTTATAAAAAAGCAAAAAAAAAAAGAATGAATTGGGCTTGGAGAAGATGATGACATAGGGAATTTACTTGAAGTTGAATGGGTCTGAGAAAGCATTATGAAAGAGGTAAGGAGTAAGGCCAGTAGAGAAGGATAGGCCAGGAGTGAAATGAAAAATCTTATTTTCTCCTTAAGAAAAAGCAAAAAACACACATCGCTGTGAGACAGGTAGGACTATAATTTTGAACCCCATTTTAGAGATAAGAAAAAGAGCAAAGAATTGAAAGGCCGTGCCCTTGAGTTAGTAAGAGATCCAAGCTTCTCACCTGGGCCTCTTAACATGAGGGCCCCCAGGGCCCTGGAGAGGGATAGCTCCCACCAAGGGCAGCTCCCCTTGCGGGTGGAGCAGGAAGGAGGAGAGGAAGAGTTAAACTGGCTGCTCTCTGCATCCCTAGGCCAACCGGACGCCCCGCAAGGCCATCGCTTTCGGCAAGCGCTCGCACTCCATGAAGCGGAACCCCAGTGCTCCTGTCACCAAGGCAGGCTGGCTTTTCAAGCAGGTGAGGCCTCCTATTCCGTTCTGCCCACTGCATCCCTGCTTTCTCCTCACAGTGCTGTAAGTCCTCTGTAGTTATAACAGCCCATGTATATTTTGCTATGTCCCTCCAGGTCCTATTTTGGTATATCTCTGCGAAATCTCCTAATTTAATAAAGGCTCAGAGAGGTTGAGTATCTTCCCAAAGTCTCACAGAGAAATTAGTGTTATATTTGGGAATTCAGCCAGGTCTCCTGATGGGCAGATGCAGTGACTTTGAAATATGCTGTCATCAACCCTATCAGAGCAACCCAGTGGCTCAGTCAGCAGGGCCCTCTTGCTATGAAGGGAGGGGGATGTCTCCTCTAAGTCTAGGGGTCCAGTTCTCCTCGTTGACCTGGCCATTATCCCTGCCGGACCTTCTGCTCACTCTTTCTGGCTCATCGCTGCACTGTTTATCTTTCCTGGGGGAGACACTGAGGCCCAGAATGACAGAAGTGGAAGGTCACAGGCAATAATGTAATGTCACTCCCTGCCCCTGAGGGCCCTTGGGGGTTGCTGCCACTTGTTAGTCGCAGAGCTGCAAACAGAGGCAGGATGTCCTTATAATGAGTGCAGCACTCTTTCCACTGCACACACCCACCTCCCCAGGCCCAGGTCACAGACTATCCTGTCTATTCCCCACTTCTCCTGCAGGCCAGCTCCGGGGTTAAGCAGTGGAATAAGCGCTGGTTTGTCCTGGTGGATCGCTGCCTCTTCTACTATAAAGGTGAGCTTGCGCCTGGCACTGGCAGGGGCTGTGGGAAGCCAGGGCCTCCTCTTTCTCATTCTGCCCTGTCACAGGGCTCGGTTTCTGATGGATGTTGGGGGTGGGGGGGCACGTATCCCCCCTGTGGTCTCCGGCACCAGTGGCACGTGACAGGGGATAAAGACAAAGCTCGCATTCACTCACTCATTTCACATTCGGCAATATTTACTGAGTGCCTACGAGATTTCAGGCAGAGTTCTAGGCCCTGGTGGGTGGTGTGGTGGATGAACAAGACAGTCAGATGACAGAGGGTGAAGTCCGGGGGAGGGCGTGGGTGGGAAAAGAAAAGGAGGAAGAAGACAAGGGTCCCTGGTCATCACTAGCAGGTCACCTGCTAATTGGACCTTGTATGCTGAGCTTCCCCCATCCCACTGGAATGTATGATCCGATCTGTGTAGGCAGGAGTTTTGGGTCAGTTTTGTTCACTGCTGTATCCACAGCACTGAAAACAGCACCTGGCACATAGTAGGTGCTCAATGAATGTGGAGTAAATGATTATCCCCCAGCTTCTGCCCTCTTTGCCCACCCCAACACTCACTCCCTTTCCTCCCCCACAGAAAGGAGGGCAAAACTCTTATAACTTTGGTGCAGCAGCCTCTAGGAAGTTATTTTTAAAGTATGTACAGCAACAATATGTCAAGGAGGGCAGGGAGGAACTAGTGAGGGTTGATGACAGTGACGGTTCTGTCACACTGATGCCGTGCAACGAGGCCTGGGCGCTGAGGAGAGGATAAAATGATCTAGCAGCAAGAGTGGCTGTTTCCTTTTCCTCCATGCCCTGGGAATGGCAGATCTCTGATTTCTCCAGGTCTCCTGGGAGCAATTCACTGAATCATTAACTTTGGCAAACAAAGGTTGTACCTAGTGACCACCACCCCCCCACCCCCCCCCCCCCACCCACCCCCCCACCCACCCCCACCCCGCCCTTAGAACACTGCTGTTCCTGTGCCCTGAGGCACCTGAATCCCAAGGAGAGAGATCAGGAAGGGGATGCACGTCCAGGGTCTAGTCACAGAGGAAACCCCAAGATCGAGGGAGAAGAATCTGCTCAGGCTGGGCCCCGGGATGTAGGGCCGCACAGGAGCCAGAGTATAACAGAAGCTGGAGGGAAAACCAGGGTCTCTGCAGGGAAGACACTCTGGGCCTGGTGTGAGGGGAGAACATTAAGAAGCTCTGAACTCAAGCGGCATGGAGATGGAGGGTCACTATGCACTGAGAGGTGCTCTCAGGAGACCCCTAGACACTGGCCTGGACTCAGCCAGGCAGGGGGCCCACCTCCTCCTGCGGATGATGGCCTCTGCCTTCCTGAAGAAGCTCTGGGCTCCCAGCCCTCCTGTCCCTTTAGCTTAGTCCATCCTCTGGGTACCATGCCGAGGTCTGTCCAGGAAACTGGACCTTGTGCAAGTGACGGGTAAGGGGAGAAGGGGAGCTCGTGGAGTCTGTAAGCCCTGTGAGATTTCTTCTGAACCCTAGCTGAGGGTTTTACAGGGTCTCTAGACCCAGGAATAAAGAGCTATGCCAGGGAAGTGGGGAGGGTCTTGCCATGGCCTCATCGTTAGCCCCAACCTCGTGGTTCCCACACAGCACCCCACCCTTTCGGTCTCCTGCTGATAGCTGGGGGCCTGACCAGCTAATCCCTCAGGCTCCTTTGGAGATTCGGGATGAATTATGCAGCAGCCTGATTGCTCGCCTGCTTCTGGGGATCAGAGGGTGGGGGGCCATGCAGGGCCATGTCTTCTGTGCAGACATGGGGACTGTAAAGGGGAGGGGTCTAGTCAGAAGACAAAGCAAGCTGCCAGGTGCCTAGGAGAACCTTAGAGACAATTGCCCGGAAGAGCCCGAGCCGAAGATGTGAGCGTCCCCTCTACCGCGCCCCATCCCCTTACATCCTGTTCCCTGTGTCACTGTTGGGATCACCTTGTTTGGAGAGGCGCTGTGGATGGGAGGGAGGTTAAGAATGCTAGAGCTCGAAAGTCAGACTTCTTGGGTTAAAGACTAATCCACCACTTTCTATTTAAGTAACCTTGGACAAGTTATTTAATCGTTCTGTGTCTCAATCTCCTTACCTATAAAATGGAGATCATGAGTACCCATTCATAGGATTGTTGGGCAGGTTAAATCCGTTAAGCCTTTAACTTAGAACAGTGCCTGACATATAGCAAGCGCTCCAAAATTTTGGCTCTTCTGTGCTTGTTTGCTTCCATACTGGAATGTGAGCTCCCCAAGGGTGGGCACTACTACTCGCATTCACCTCTACAGTCCCCAAGTCTAGAACAGTGCCTGTAGGGCTGCCACGCTCCCCAGCTCCAGGGAGTGTGCCTCTCGCTGTGCAGAGCACGGCCTGTGTGGTTGTGTGGTGGCCCCGAGTGCCTGACGAATAGTAGACGAGTAACAGATATTTGCTGGTATTTATCCTAATAGGGCTGATACACTCCCCTCCCCTCCCCCCCGCACACATACATCTCACTTGTGCCTCTATTTCCTTTGACAGACGAGAAGGAGGAGAGCGTCCTGGGGAGCATCCCCCTCCTGAGCTTCCGGGTGGCTGCGGTGCAGCCCTCAGACAACATCAGCCGAAAACATACCTTTAAGGTCAGTTGGCCTTCCTCTCCCAGGTAAGGTAGGGGCGGGAGGCCGGCTCTTCTAGAGCATATAAGAATGAAACAGGATCAAGAGCCACCTCCTCAGGAACCCCAAGTGGTAGTACTGGGGGGAGCAGGCAGCGGTCCCTGGGCTCAGTGCAGGCTGTTGTGAGGCTGTGCCGGGACCCCTTCCTCTTCTCTCCCCAGGGTGGGCCTGTAGAGATGAGCTTCAGTGGTACCACAGTCTTTCCTGGGGGAGAATTAGTTATGTGCTGAGGCCATGGACACTCTGCCCGGTGGCCTGGCACCTAGGAAATCCCTCACAGCAGAGGCAGGAACTGTGGCCGGGTGGGTTTCTAAGATCCATTCTGGAAAGTCTTCCTCCCCACTTTGGGCCCAGGGAACTAGACCCCCAGTCAAACTTACTCAAAGGGTCTCAGATGTAAGTTGTTCACTACTATTCAGTGTACAGCGCGTTCGCACCGGCCCACATAAGGGCCCTCAATTTGTCATTTGTCCCCACTTTCCTTCTTATCCCTTTGCCCTCAGCCCTGCTGCCTGCACCCTGTCCCCTCTCCAGCCCTTGTCATGGGCCAGCACCCTAGTATTTTTGCCACCTTGTAAAATGGGTTTTGTACGCCTGTGTTTTTTAGTTGCCATAAACGACATGCTCTAATTCAAAAAAAAAAAAAAAATCTTTGCAGAAAGTTAGGAATTGAGTTTCATTATAATTGAAAGCTACAAACCTCACAGAGACACAGTTTGAGGGAATAAGGGCCCAGGGAGATGGCCTCACCTGCAGTGCTCAGCGCCACTGCTCGGAACCCCTGGGGGATCTACCCATCAAAGACGGGACTTCAGCTGTCTCATCCTAGGCCAGTGTTTTTCCACATTTAGAAATTCACGGCCCATTAAAAACAATGAAAATTCCATGCCCTTTTTGTATTTTGTGATGCAAAGATCATAGGTTCTTTTTCATTTTCCAAATATAAAATTATGATATCAACCATGCATCTTCTTAGTACAAAGCCCTCTCTCCCCCAGTTGAGAATTGCTGTCCAAGACCCTGAAAACCCACAGGTTACTACTCGAGGGCAGCATCTGAGTTCCTGGGGCCCCAGAGACTCTGCCCTTTCTGTCCTTCAGCTCTGGTCACCTGGCCACAGAGAGGTGGGCAGACACATAATGCTGCTCCGGGGAACAAAGAGGGACTTCTTAGGCACATAATTAGTTTTGAGCCTCCAAGGGTCCTGTCTGCAGAATGAATGATCAATAAAACAGTGGCTCCAGGGAGCCGGATTTTAGCTGGGGAAATAGGAACAGGCTGTTTAACCAACAACAAACAGGCCTGCTCTACACAGACACGCACACACCCCCACACAGTCAGACAGCCTGTCTTACCCTTCCCCTCCAGACCTGCGTGCGCGCGCGCGCGCACACACACACACACACACACACACACACTCCAGCTCGGGAGCTCTGCCGGCAGCCCCGTTAGAACAACGTCCCAGTGACTGACACACCCCTCCATAAACCCCAGATCTCTGTGCCCATCAGCCCCTCTCCTCCTTCCCTTTTCCCTGAGGAGTGCACTGCCTCTTTAAAACCCAACTCGGAGGGCTGTGCTCAGTGGCCCACAAAAGGTTCGGATTGTGGCTATTCAGTGGCCTTTCCCCAGGGAAGGGAGGGGAGATGAGACAGATGGGAGGCTTGTCCTGCTGCGGCCACCAAGCGAAACCCTCAGATGGCCAGTAATGAGCCAGCACTGTTCCCACCCAGCCTGCTGCTGAATGGCCTTCCTCTGTCCCTGCACAGCCCCGTGGGGGCTCTGTGGGCTCGTCCATGGGGGCACCTCCCTCAATTCTCTGGTCCCCTTTCATGCTTCCAGGCTGGTGCCCCCTCCTGGCTCCCCATCAATCACCCTGTCTTTTCCCAGGCCCTCTGCCTTCTCCTGTCACAGCTGTTGTTCCCGTGCCTTTGCTCTCTCCTTGTTTCCCCATGGGTATGTTTTGTCCTCCAGCTTGACCGTGAGCTCTTCGAGTGCTAAGAGCATGTCTTTGCTTTCCCTGTGACTGGTGCCCAGAGCAGAGCTCTGCACACACAGGATGCTCACTGGACGCTTAGCAAAGTAATTATTTGCTGCCACTCCTACCAGCCCTGGACACACCCACTCGTCCCACCTGTGTGTCTCTCCCCTCTACAATAACCCTGTGTTCTCCACCCCAGAGGGCTTGCCTGGGCCCCTGCTCTCCATTTCCCTGTGCAGTTTCGACCCCCAGATCCCTCTTTAAAACTTCACTGGCTTTTCGTCAGCACCTCCCTGTCTCTGCCTACCTGCTGGGCAGCCCTGCTGGAGGGTGGGGACTGGCCGGATCCAGAGGAAGGAGACCCATCTCTGTCCTTAGAGAAGTAGGATGCCCCCTCACTGGGTAATGGCTCCTGTGCAAAGACACGTGCTGGGGAAGGTGCTGAGGAAAAGTGAAGGTCCGGCTGGGAAAGCACTCGAAGGGTGTGGATTTGACACTGTTGCTTAGGAGAACCCTGGGGCTTGGTCAGAGGAGCCCTGTCTTCTCTCCTTCCAACCCCCAGAGACCCAGGATTTAGCACCCAAGGGGTCATAGGCCAAAGTGAAGTTCATATCTGAGACTCTTAAACACTTTGGGATCTCTCATGTTGAATGGGATGAACAAGGCTAGCTGCTTTTTCTGGGAGATTGGTCTCACCTAGGAAGTGTTCTGAGACCCCAGAAAGGATCTAGCACTGGAGCGTCTTTTCCTCTTGGACCCTCCCCATCAAACAGATGCATCAGTTAAGGCCAGAGCAAATCTCGAGTTGTTTACAGTTGCAGGGCTGGTCGGGAACAGAGCTAGGATTAGCACTGGGCTGCCTGCCCTGCCTTCTCTCCTCGAGCAACCCAGGTTTGCCGGGTGCACGCTGTCCACCCCCACTCCTGGTGGGCTGACCTGAGCCTTGCTGGGTGCCATGGTCCCAGTGGTGACACTGAGTAGAAGGGGCTAGTCTGAATAGCTCCCTACTTCCCTCTGTTCCTCGACATTCCTGTCACGTCTCCTGTCTCTCCTTCTGGTGTTCGGTTGACCTGTTCTCTGCTTCTCCTCCTTCTGGCCGCGTGAGGACCCCTCCTCTGGACAGGAGCTCGCTTCTGGGTTACCGCCTGCTGCGCCTGCTTGCAGCCGCCAACTAGGTAGCGTGCTCTGACCGTCTGTGCATGCCCCCCGTGTGCCCGCGCTGTCCCGCTGCGCGGAAGAGAGTGCCAGCTTCTCAGAGGCTGAGCTGGGGCCGAGACTGGCATGTGGTTGGGGTAGGGGGGCATCTCTCCCGGGCACGGGGTAACTGCCCTTCAAAGCAAGCATGGAATTTGATGGGAGAGCGGGCAAGGTAATTGTCCCTCAGGTGGGGCAGGTCAGCTTACCTGCCTGTTGGGCTGCCTAGTGGTGTCCAGAGAGCTAGTCGAGGCAGATACGTGGGTGCCAGCTGGGGCACTTGGGACAGCTGGGGACCTCCTCACATTGCCCCGAGCTCCGTATGGGGCGAAGAGCTGCAGGTCAGGGGAATGACCTGCCTGACCACCTGCCCTGTGGGCATGGGTGTATTCTCCCCACAGGTGACTGTGTGCTGGGTGGACGAGGCTGGGGACAGTTCCACGCACTGCCTCTCCCCACAGGCTGAGCACGCCGGGGTCCGCACCTACTTCTTCAGTGCCGAGAGCCCCGAGGAGCAGGAGGCCTGGATCCAGGCCATGGGGGAGGCTGCCCGAGTACAGATCCCCCCAGCCCAGAAGTCAGCACCCCAAGCTGCACGTCACAAGTGAGTGCCAGGGACCGGGCATAGGTGTGAGGACTGCTATTAGAGAGAGAGGAGGAGTGAAGAGGTGCCCATCTCTGTGCCCTTGCTGAGCCCAGCACGTGGACTTGAACCTCTGAGAACATGTGAACCAACTCCTTGCCTCCCAGCAGGGAGGCTGGCTAAGTGAATTCGGAGCCTGTAGTCTCTTTTCCCCTGGGCAGCTCCTCCTCTTCTCTCTGAGCTGGTGGAGGCCAAGAGAGAAGCCAGGTTCCATGCGGGCCTGGCCAGGAGCCAAACACCAGGGTCATTCACTCGTTTTGTTATGCATACAGCCTTTGTGGGACTCAGGTTTGAATCCCAACTTGAACACTTGCCCACTGTGTGACCTAAGTGTAAGTTACTTAACCCCTGACCCTCAGAGACGATAATTATAATCCTACCTCATAGGGTTGTTGTCAGGACTCAATAGTATGGGTAAAATGACTGACATGCAGCGAGCACTCAGCACGTGACGCTCCTGTCACTTCACCCCGTCATCGCCCGCAGTCTCAGCACCTGTCTGTACTTGAACTGGGCATTGAGTCTTAAGTTAGATGTTAGCAGGGATCCAGCAGAAGGAAGTTTTACAGTATAGACTCCAAGTCCGTGTACCTGTCTTGAAAACGTTTACCAAGCAGTGTCTCAACAAGGATGCTTGACTATGTTGAATTGGGGAAGGTGTAGCGAAAACATTGTCATGAGATTCCATCTTTGCTTTGACCAAGGGGTGGAATTCCAGAACTTCACTCCTTCTTTTCATAAATATTTACTGTAGATAGAAATGTGTATAGGGTGCTAGGAAAACAAGGTAGGAAAAGTCTGACAAGCTCCTACCTCATGGAGCTTATACTCTCATAGAAAGTCCTAGAAGATGCTTGTTCGGGAGGGAAACTAGCTTCTCTCTATGCCTGTGAAGTTGGAGGCAACGGCTTCAGCCCCTGGTGCGCCTGCCATGTTTGATCTCACACAGTCCTACCCAGCCTGCCAACGAGGAGCCCAAGACTCGTGGAAGTTAAGTAACTTTCTAAAGGAGAGAGGGCTGACCTGTCACAAACCTCTGTAGCTGAGACATCAAGGATGGTTCCGATTATGCGTAGTGTGTAGTGCACACCAAGTGACGGGGGCTGGATCAGGAACAGACTACAGGAGACACCTAGTCTGGGTGAGGTTAGTCTCGGCCATAGCTAGGAGGCTGGACTCAAGGAGTTTCAGCAGAAGGGAGCGAAGGGTGACACATGAGGAGGACCAGCAGGGCAAGACGAGCACATGTGCACAGGCAAGCTTGGATTACGCTTTATAATTGCCCAGGCTGGAGCAAGTATATAAAATGGTAGGATTTAGGAAACAGAATTGGAATTCATTGAACCCTGTTTCCATCACTGCCTTCCTGTCCATCCTTCTCCACTCCTCTTCTCCTTCCCAGTTTCCCCCCACCTGAACTCCACGCTGGGCTGGAGTCCCTTACAACATCTCCCTTGGCATCCCACAGCCACGAGAAGCCAGACTCTGAGAACATCCCACCCAGCAAACACCACCAACAACCCCCCCAAAACAGCCTTCCCAAGCCTGAACCAGAGGCCAAGACTCGAGGAGAGGGTGATGGCCGAGGCTGTGAGAAGGTGGAGAGGAGGCCTGAGAGGCCTGACGTCAAGAGCGAGCCTCTGGTGAAAGCCAATGGTGTCCACGCTGGACCAGAACCAGCCTCAGACCCGGGCAGCCCTTACCCTGAGGGCCCAAGGGTCCCAGGAGGTGGGGAGCGGCCCACCCAGCCCAACGGCTGGCAGTATAGCTCCCCGAGCCGGCCGGGGAGCACAGCTTTCCCACCTCAGGACTCAGAAAGTGGGGGGCAACGGCGGAGCTTCCCCCCACGTGCCAACCCCGACAAAATCGCCCAGCGCAAGAGCTCCATGAACCAGCTTCAGCAGTGGGTGAACCTGCGCCGAGGGGTGCCCCCTCCTGAAGATCTTCGGAGGTGAGGCCTGGTGGGGTGGGGTGGAGTGGGGATGGCGTTCCGGCTGGGGGCTGGGGCTGGGGGAGTGACAGGGAGGCACCCTCTGTTGGAAACCTTCTGGAAGCCAGGCTGAGTTGGGAAACCAAGAAAACCCCAGGATTCCCTGCTTGCCCAGATGCTTACTAACCCCATGGTTCCCTCTGTAGAGTTTGCCCCCTGCCCCTGATTCTTGCCGTCTCTGCCTACTTCAGAGGAAGGGACAGAGCACCCAGTGCCTCCCACAGGACGCTGGGCGGCCTGAAGCATGCAGGCAGTCGCAGCGAGGGGCCTTTAAAGCTGTCCAGCCAGACGTCCGTCCGTGCTTCCCACCCTTGTATAGCGTCCAGTGTCTCTACCAACGCGAGACTCACTAACTGCCAAGGCAGCTCACTGCGTCTTTGAAGCTCTGTTTGCAAGCCATTATTTATAAGCAGTTTTTTAAAAAGAAAACCGTTGCCACTCATTGGCCCTAGTTCTTCCCAATAGACCGATTTACTTCTTTATCCAGTGACTGGCTCTCAAATATTTGAAGACATTTATTGGACCTGATTGTGTTCATCAGGGCAAGGGGGGCTGCCGCTCCTTCCCTGGGGGTCTGGGAGGGCAGCTCACTGTGGTGGTCTGCCCTGCCCTGGGGAGAGCGCCTCACTAGGGTTGAGTCCCAGGAACGGACTGGTTGGCTCCTTGATAGGATCATAAAATCAGCGAAGGCATCCCTTTGTCCCTCCTCCGTTGTCCCCCTCCAGGTGCCTGGTACACTCTAGTGTTCTCTCTGCTCTCAGCCTCTCTGGAAAGAATCTGATAAATTGGTTCATGCTGAGATAGAGATGGCTAATAAGGCTTAAAGTTTCTCCCCAGGGAGACAAAGAGACAAAGATGGAAGCTCTGAATGGTGAAATTTCTGGCCTCAGGGAACTGGTTGAGGGGGAGAGCTTTGAGGACAGGTCTTTCCTTGCACTTCTGGAAACAGGCCTCCGTGCCTGGGCAGTGGGCGCCCCCGTATGCTCGCAAGGTCAGCCTAGGGCACCATTCACCTCGTCAGACCCCACTCTAGGCTGAAGGACAAGGAGGAGGGGCTGGGGCACGGGCAGGTGGCTGGGGGTGTGCCCATTTTGTCTGGCTTCCTTACAAAGTCCTCTCTGTCTCAGTCCCTCTAGGTTCTACCCTGTGTCCCGTAGGGTCCCTGAGTATTACAGCCCCTACTCCTCCCAGTACCCTGATGATTACCAGTACTACCCGCCAGGCGTGCGGCCGGATAGCATCTGCTCCATGCCGGCCTACGATCGGATCAGCCCACCCTGGGCCCTGGAGGACAAGCGGCACTCCTTCCGGAATGGAGGCGGCCCCGCCTTCCAGCTGCGTGCGTGGAAGGAGCCTGCCAGCTATGGGCGGCAGGATGGTACCACCTGGATCCCCAGCCCCTCCCGGCAGCCTGTCTATTATGATGAACTGGATGCCGCCTCCGGCTCCCTGCGACGCCTGTCCTTGCAGCCCCGTTCCCACTCTGTGCCCCGCTCGCCAAGCCATGGGTCCTACAGCCGCGCCCGCATTTTCTCCCCCATCCGCTCACCCAGTGCCCGTTTCGAGCGGCTGCCACCTCGCAGTGAGGACATCTATGCTGACCCTGCTGCCTATGTGATGAGGCGATCCATCAGCTCCCCCAAGGTGAGCCACCAGCCTTCCCCTCCTTCCTCAGCCCCTGAGATCCCCCAGAAGCCTAAGACGATCTGCTGAGAAGAGGTGGGGATGCAAGGGCATCTGGGGACATGGGGTCACTGGGCTGTGTCAGCAGGACCAGGGATGCTGCCCAGGGGAAGCCACTGGCCCTGCGGTTCTGTCCATAGGAGAGCTGCCTTGGGGGATTTGCCTTGCCCCTGAGTAGAAACACTGCTCTCTGTGCCCATCCCCAGACTGTACCAGGAGCCCTAATTCTATATAAGAGGACAGAGAGGGTTCTATCTTTTCAAATCTTGAGGACCTGGACAGATCACTGCAAGGATATTGCAATGGTTAAAGGCTGTCCATTTTAGTTTGAAATCTGCTCCGGGACAGGTTACGAACATCCCTAACCTTGAACTTCAGTTGGTGGGGAAGTCCATATCCCAGCCGGATCCCCTCACCTCTCCAATCCCCTTTCTCTTCCAGTATGATTACCTGGGAGACAGGCGGCCAGTCCCTGCAGGACTGTTCCCCTACAACTACCCACCATCCCCCACGGTCCACGATAAGATGGTACGTCCTCTCCTCCCACTCCACTTCCCCTCAGGACCTCTCCTCCCAGGGCGGGGCCAAACTAGGGCAGACGCAGGGGTGCTCTGTGCCCAGTGCCTGGCCCGTCTGGTCTTTAGCAGCCTCTGGATACCTCCTCCCTCCGGCCTGGACTCTAACACCAACATAGAGAGTGGTGTCAGTTACCCCTCCTCCTCTGTGACACAGGGCAGAGGAGCAGGGACAAGATCTGGAAGCGTGAAACGTCCCCATTCTCTCAGTCTCAGAACAACTCCTCTCCAGCATGCAGAGGGGCCTGGACAGGGTGCTTAGGCTATGGGCTGGGAAGAAAAGTTAAGCTAGAGCTCCCAAAACAGGCATGATCTTCTAGTCTTCTTACCCCTAAGCGTACTTGCTTCAAGCTCGTCCTTGCCTGGAATGTCACTTTGGGGGAAAGAGACTAGAAGCCGGATTGAGGAAGAAAAGATTTTCCATACTGTGTCTCCTCCTACTTTCACTCCCCTTTCTACTTGTGTCTCTTCCGGGAATTTGTTCTCCTGAGGATTTTGGTCTCCGCCTGGAGAACTCGATGCAGATGCTCCGCCTGGGGAGCTGGGGAAAACCACTGGAACCAACAGGCAAAATCCTTGTCTCCAACGGCCTGTCACTGGCCCCTCTCTCTGAGTCTTCTCTGCCGGTGTCCAAACTCTATAGCCAAGACACACAGCAAATGCACCCATCTGGAAACAGTGGATTTTCCAGAAAACTCAGAAAAAGCTCCAGGAAGTGCTGACTAGATGGCTTCAGTGGTGCTTCCCTCTCCCAGGGCAGGGCCAGGCCGACCCAGGAGCCTCGGAGTGTGTCGCTTCTCTCGCTGGGCTTGTCCAGCAGACAACCTCTGTGGCTGCCCGCACCCTTCCCCCCTCCCTTCCCTAGACTCCTCAAGGCCAGAGAGGCCTCTGTTTGTCGTTGCCCAGCTAACTCTTAACTGCTTTGCTTCCTTTTTATTGTTTTCTTTTGTCCTGTTCCTGTTTGTTTGTGTTGCCGTTGGGCCTCGGGCTCCGGGTAGGATGAACTTTTAGACCTTCAGTTGCAAAGAAACCTAGAGTATTTGGATCAGCAGGTAGGCAGAGCTGGTGCCCCTTACCATCCCCCTGCCCTCCCTTCACGTCTCCCTGCTCCTCCCCGCCTTCTCATCCCCCATCCATCTGACAACCTTTGTTGGCAAAAACCGGGACACAACAAAGTGGCTTATATTTTGGTTTGCACCTTCACACCCCTTCTTTGCAAAGCCCTTTAGGGCAGCTGGGAGTTTCCTGGGGAAAGGAGAATTGTAAATTACCACATGAATAATTAATGTCACCGCCTATTTGTTCGACCCAGATGGAACTGCCCCCAGGGGGCAGGCGGGAATTTGCATTTTTGCTGGATAGAGTTGCAGAGACAGGGAGGAGCTCTGTGCTGGGGCCTAAGAGGCTAAGGATTTAGTTCAGCCTGAATCTGGGAAATTAGCCTATCCTATTCCACAGGTTGTGGTTAAACTCCACATTTTGTAAGCGAAGGACCACAGACCTGCCCTGCACTGATTTTTTAAATTATGGTAATTCGGTATATATGTTAGTTCCTCTGCAAAGTTCTTTTGTATGCACGGCTCATGTTTTCCTGAGAACTCAGTGCTGTAGGCAGAGAGAGTGTCATCAATCCAGTGTTACAGATGAGCACCCTGAAGAGGCAATGAGTGTCCCCAAGTGATGAAAGCAATCGGCTGCCTGGGCTCTCACCTTTGGCTACCTTGCCTTTTGAGACTAAGGAGGCTGTGATACTGGGTTTAGACAGGCCAGGGGTCAATATGCTGGGCAGTTTGTATGAGCACATACTCATATTCAGATCTGTGCTACAAATCATGGGGGACCTGGATGTGTACCAGATCCAGGTGGAGGCGGCCTGGGGTGGTGGAAAGAATAATGTTAGTAATAATAATAATAATAGTGGCAGCACTTACCGTAATGGGATGCTTCCTCCATGCCCTGCACCATTCTAAGCATTTCACAGATCCTAACCTTTATAACAACTCTGCAACGTAGGTATTGTTATTATCCCCGTTTCGTAGGGGATATGATGAAACTAAAGCCCAGAGAGATCAAATAACACGCCAAGGACACACAACCAGTGAACAACAGAGCTTGGATATGACTCTGAGCTTTCGACTCGGTTTACAGCTGAGGAAACATCTAACATGTGAAGAAGCTGGGGTTGAACCTCATCAGGATGACTTTGTGCTCTTAACATTGTAGAGAGAACCATAAACTTGGTATCAGAGGACGTGGCTGCAAATGCTGGTGGTTCTAGTCACAAGCCATGTGACCGTCATCTCACAGGGTCTCCGTGTCTCAGTGAGGTCGTCCTCATGGGAGCCCTTGGGTACTGGGAAGCATGATATACACATTTTAATCAGCAGTGATGGCTCCTGGCCCTCAAGAACATTGCATCTTAGTCCCAGAAGGAGCATGTGGTGTTGACACCGTAAGCATTCTAGTCCATGTGGGGATGACTCCCGGCAGGCCCTCCTCCCCGCAGCCCATCCACACTGCTGGCTTTCCAAGCATTCAGTGCAGATGGCAGGGCCCCTTCCTGGGGGCTTCTTCCCTCACAGAGGGGCTGGGGGCTTCAGAAATAACCTTTTAGAGGACCTCTTCCTAGATAAACGATAATACTCTTAAAAGGCAGTCTTGTATGATAAGAAGAGTCCAGAACATAGTCAGACACTGCACTCTAGTTCCAGCTGTGCCATTTACAGGGATTTTTTTTTTTAAACCTTGGTCTCTCTGGGTCTTTGTTTTCTCAATCATGAGACGGACATTGTAGGACCTGCCCTTTCTACCTCACAGTTATTGGGAGAGTCGAGTGAGAATGTATATGAGAGCACTTTGGCAGGCCTTGATGAGGGCTAGTTATTGCTACTATGATTATTTTATTATTCTTTTTCTTCCAAAACTCAAAAATATTAATTGACCACCCTTGACCCCAGTGCTGTGTATAAGGTACTGGGTTAGGTGCTTTCTCACGAAATTTCTCTAACGTTTGGAGAGACAGAAGGTGGCACACAGGAATCCTCCTAGAGGCAAGGCCCACATAGGCTGAACGATCCTGAAAGCCATAGCATGTGTGGGGGCAGGCCAGGGTGAGAAGACCCCTGCTTCCTCTATTGTTTTAGATCTACTGGTTGGGGAAGGAATGAGATCTGTGGGTGACCAAGAAGAGCCTGGGCCTCCCTTGCCCTCTCAAAGCCTGATGTGTTGGTAGATCTGCCTTGTCCTCCACACATACACATAAACACCACACACAGGACACACAGGTATGACACACAGGCAGCCAACATAAACATACACATTCCACATACGATCACACATACACCACACTGGCACACCCCATACACAACAAACACAATCTCATCCACACACACACGCACGCACGCACATGCGCGTGCACAGCCTCTAAGAAGATAAGCACTGACTTGAGTTCAGATCCTTACAGAAAATGTGGTTGATATACTGTTGACTTTTAACCATTTTGCAAAGACTCAACCTCATATTACAATTGCTCTTTTAAAAGCCTTTTAAATCACACTTTATATCATAGAAAAAATTCCCAACTGGGCTAAAGAAGTAGCAAAATCAGATCCTAGGAAAGCCCTTTAAAATGCTCTAGAGCCTGTGAATGGGGGTGGAGGTGTGCCCCTCGCCCTGTCTTGTACAGCGCACAGAAGCAAGGCTGCTTTGGGGCTGCCGCCTAAACAGGGCAAGAGGGAAATAGGTGTGGGTCCAACAAAGATTGGGAAGACAAGGGCAAAAAACGTGGGGGTTCCCTGAACTGTGACCTGAGAAGATCTGCCCTAAGGTGGCTCTGTCCCTTCCCTTACTCATTGCCCCTCCCCAAGAAGCTTTCCTGCACAACTCCCCCCGTCTTCTGCTGTCTTCTCCTGGAGATCCATTGAGTTAAAGGGACATGGCCAAGGACACTCCCTAATATGTTTACATTTGACGCTGTCACACTGGAACCAGTGGGGGAAATGATGGCATTCCTGGTTGATTTGGTTGGCTTGTCCTCCCTCCCTCCCTGTCCCTCTCCCTCGCCCTTCCTCTCTCTCTTTCGTTTTCATCTGGCAAATAGTCTTTCCCCCTCCATGTTCCTGATGATCCTTGAAGCATAAGGATAACGTGTTGGGAGAGCAGTGTTCCAATCTCTGGTGTCCCTTTAACATGGCTTACTTGCTTTGGCCTCCTTGTTTGCTCCCTGGCGCCATCCCAGATTGGCATGGATGCTACCAGCCCAGCTCTGGAAACCGTGTTTAGCAATACTTTCTACTCTAGAGCAGAGGTGGGCAGGGTTTGGGAAGAGAGGCCTGTGCCTTCCCAATGTGACGGCCCAGCCAAAGAGCCGGGTCACATTTTCTTTAACGTTGTTTCATTTAGTTCAGATTTTGGGAGATCGGACTTTCCAACTGCTTGTGTGGTCTTTGACCAAACCAGTGTGAGAAATGAGAGCCGGCCCAATGGGATGAGACCCACCACACTCAGGCGCCCTGGGGAGGTGTCACTGGGCTGGGGCCTCTTCAGAGCCACAAGCGAGGGCACAGTGGCCTCCCAGGTCCCTTCTGTGGGCTTTCCTCAAGGGCAACTTCAGTGCGGGTCCTGAGATGGAGTTCACGAGGGGTGAGTGATGGGCAAGGCCAGGCAGAGGATGCTGGAGGCCTCAGGAGGAGCTGTCCTTTCCTGTTTCCTGGAAAGCAAGCACAGGCGGGCGTGGGGAGACATCTCTCTGGGGGTCTGAGTTTGAATCGTCTGTTCCTTCCTCTGCTGCAGATGAGTGAGAGTGAGACTCTCATCAGTATGGTGAACCGCATGGTGGAGAACTCCTCCCCCAGGGCCCAACTCTTCATGCAAGTAAGACCTCTGCCTGGCAGCATGGTCCCTGTCAACACCATTTTTCAGCTGCTTGTGCATGGTCGCGTCCACCCATCAGGGATGAGTCCACTCCGCCTGCTCACCTGCCAGGCCTCATCTCCCAGGCTCAGCCTGGCCTCCCTCCTTTCTTTTCACTGTGTCTCCCCCATTCTTCACGTTCATGGGTGAACCCAGGCCCATTTCCCAGGCCATCGAAATAGCCCGCACTGACATCTCACGCCATGCAGGGACCGCAGGCTGCTTTTTAGCGTTCAGGACTTCTCTTTCATGTTTGGGGTCTTCTTAACGGTTGTTGGGGTGAAGGACACGAGGCGTGTGATATGGAACCATCCAGCGACAGAGTTGTGTAGAACGTGCTCTCGTTGCTGCATGTGTCACCAAGGGCAGGCGCCTTTGCTGGACTCAGAGGCACTTCTGGTTGAGGCACAAGCCCTGGGGCTGGCGTTCCATCTAGTAGGGTGGTCGTTCTCAGATTCTTCCAATGCTCGTTCTGTTCTCCCAGGTCTTATCCTTATCAGAACAGCCAGGACTTAACTCTTGTTCTCATGGTTGTTACCAGTAAGCCATTTGGGAGCTACACAGCCCTGGAACCCCTCTTGGCAGTAGATTTTAGACCTTAGCGGAGAGGAGATACAGAGCACGAGTGAGCAGCATCTCTACCTCCAGAATCAGCCCAGGACGGTTGGGGCGGAGCTTGGGGCGGAGCTTAGGCCGGGCTGTCCCACGCTTTCCGGCCAGGGGGCGGAGCACTGTAGCTCAGCCCAGGTCCCCAGAACAGATGCTGCCTGAGGCGATGGGACTGTGGTCGGTGGCAGGAACGGAGCGAGACTGTCAGCGGTCCCGTCCCTGCGTGCCCTGCCCGGGCTGCCCTCTGCTGTGGTAACCGGCCTCCTGTTCCTGCAGGTCCCTCCATACCCAGAAGTGTTCCGGGACAGCGTCCACACCTACAAGCTAAACGAGCAAGACACAGATGTAAGAACAGCTCTCCCGCTGCCTCTGTCCACTCCAGCCCCTCCCGCTGCCCTTCTCATCCTCACTCTCCTCCGTCCATCTCTCATCTCCTGTGGCCCTTCATACATTTCATTCCTGTCCTCTCTCACCGCAAAGACAACATTCTGCCTGGGCCTCCTCTCGTTCTTACCACTCACCCCTACCTCCCACCATGGCTGTGTGTGTTTCTCCACTGAGTTTGAGGCCCTCTTATCTACAGCGCTGGCTTGTGCTTATTTCAGGAGCACAGACTTCGTTAGGAGGTAGAGCATGTAGTCCCCAGGTGCCTGGAAAGAAGAATGAGGCCTGGCTCCACCCTCGGGGAGCTTCTGGGCAGTGGGAGGCCCAGGGAGCAGCAGGCGGCAGCACAGGATTCATGTGCTGAGCGGACTGTAACAGGGTCTGCAGGAGTGCGGGGTAGGGGGACCGCGTGGGCTGGTGGAGGCCGGGGACAAAACAGGTGGCACGTGAGCTGGGCCTTGAAATAAAGGGCCCAGAGGACAAGATTTGGCCCACTAGAAAGTAGCCAAGCGGGTATTTGAGGAGTGGCATGGATAAAGGTGTGGACGCAGGAAAGCACAGGTCTTCCCAGAAGACAAGTTTGGCCTAACCTGCCTTGCCTAGGTAGCAGATCTGCCCAGCAGGCAGGGGAGACGCTCTGTACAGGCAAGGACCAGACCTCAGAGGGAGCCACCGTCAGCCATCCCTGAGCCTCTGGAAGGAGGAGGGGAGATCAGGGTCCTGTGGGACTAGGGAACCAGTTTACATTGTTCAGCGGTTTTGCTAAGACTGTTGTTCAGAAACCGGCCTGTGCCTCTAATTCATACACACCTGGAGGCCCAGGAGGCGAGGCCGTGTTATCTCCTGAACCTCTTGTGAATTGGAACCCCAAGAGGATGGGAGTGCAGAAGCTTAACGTTTGGCTCTCAGCCCTCTCCCCTCTTAAGCTGACTCGTTTCCTCAGAGAATAAATTTGTCTCCTCTCCCAATGGGTCTTTGGAGAGTCCCCCGAGGTGAAGACCATCTTCCTGTTCCCAGGAGCCTCCAAGGTCAAGGTGAAGGCCCAGGGTTCCTTGGCAGGGAAGAGGAGGTGGTATCCAGAGGCCAGGCCCTGCCAACCCAATTCCCAGGTCCCCATCAAACCGTGTTCTTCACTCCCTTCTTTCTCCCTCCCTTCCCCCTTGGGGCCCCCAGAAGCTGCTGGGCAAGTTGTGTGAGCAGAACAAGGTGGTGAGGGAGCAGGAACGGCTGGTGCAGCAGCTCCGAGCTGAGAAGGTGAGAGCCATGGGGTGGCCCTGAGTGGGGCAGATGGGGGGGCTGGCCCAGAGAAGGTGTAGATTGCTATCTCCATCCTGACTAAGCTGATGAAGATTTGCCCCTCCTTAAATTTCTGTCCTGCCCTTAATCAGACCTGCTGAAGCTCTTCTGGGGACCTCAGCCAGTGTGAGGGAAACCTCCACTAAGCTGCCTGGTTGAACCCCTAGGGCTCAGGCCTCTGCTGCTGAAAGCCCAGGAGAGGAGCTATGAAGGCCACTCATAGCCATTCCCCTGCCTTTCTTCAGGAGAGCCTGGAAAGTGCCTTGATGGGGACCCATCAGGAACTGGAGATGTTTGGAAACCAGCCTGCCTACCCAGAGAAGCTGCTACACAAGAAGGAGTCGCTGCAGAACCAGCTCATCCACATCCGGGTGGAGCTGTCTCAGGCAACCACGGTAACCTGGGAGCTGGGTGTGCGCTCCCACCCTGGCCAGCACCTGCAGGGGGGAGCCACCCTCCCAGCTGTGCTCCTCTAATTCCTGTTCTCCTCTGACGGCGAGAGCAGGGTGCTGTCTGCGAGAGGGATAAACAAAGACCTTAACACTGCCTTACAAAGAGGCAGCAAATGTGCCAGCCTGCTCATCCCATTGAGTCTCCACCAGGGAGACTGGCTTGTTTCCCACAAGCCGTATCTGCACCAGGATTCATTCAGGACAAAGTGAAGTTGAGGGCCACTTCTTTCCTTGGCTGCTCTAACAGCTTTGCTGCCCACCTTTTCCACTCCCCTGGAGAACCAGGATACCGGCAACACGCCACCCTGGTTACTTCCCAGCAGGCACAGGGCAGACCCTCTGACACAGAGAGCAGCAGCAAAAGCCCCAGGAAATTGTGTCCCAGAGGGAGGAAGGTCTCTAACCTCCAGAGAACAGGCACCCCCAGGTCTTTCCTTTTTTGCCCTCTACTCTCTATCACCCAATCTGGGGAGAACAGGAGGGGTGTGAGAGTGAGATTAGCCCCTTTGGGCCTGCCTGCCATCCAGAGAGGATTCCATTTTCTCTCTCTTTGGGCATGCAGTAGGCTGGGCTGTTGCACCTCCTAAAAGGCCAGTGTTTGGCTGTCATCAGAATGTCTCAGCCCAGGGCCATCTCCTGTCCCTCTGGTACCCGGGCCCCAGGCCCTGAGGCAGGACGAGGAGGGGCGGATTGGCAATTGCAGCTTCTCAGTAAGCCCTCCCCTTGCAGGCCCTGTCGAACAGCACCGTGGAGTACGAGGGCCTGGAGGCAGAGGTCTCTGCCCTGCACGACGAGCTCTGGGAGCAGCTCAGCTTGGACTTTCAGGTGAAGAGGCCCACAGGCAGGCGGGGCTGCTGTGTGCTTCAGGCCCTCCTTTGTCATTTTGGCCGAAAGAGGCCACGGTGGCTTCCTTTCTTGCTTTAGAAATTTCAGAGACTTATGACCAGGAGTTGGTCCTCAGATGAAAGACAAGGTTCAGGGCCTCTTAAAACAGACTCTGAGTTTCAGGGTGAAGATAATGTGGGATCGTTCTTTAGTTCCATCAAATCATGGGGGAAGAATAAAAGTTGAAGCATGGGAGACTTTAACAGATATATGAATGTAAAGAAGATCATGATAAATACAGATCTCTCTCATGACATCAGAAGAGTACGCAGTGTGGGAGCCATCCACCGGGGAATTTTTAGGTGGGAAAGAGGCCTTTCTTTCTGGGATGGGTCAAAAACACTCTGCTTGGAGGCAGGAGGATGGACGTTCCTGGGGCATTCTTCTTCCTTTCCTTCCTCTGTCTTTTCTCTTCCCAGGCTCTGCCCCTTCTCTAGCTCGCTTTGCAAGCCCTGTCTCTCTGATGCAGTTAACACCCTGGTTTCCCCCATTTTCCTCCTGTTTCCCTCCTGGTAACAAAACTTACCACCCAACCTTGCAGCTTGTTAGGTTAGGTTAGCCCCTGGACCAGAGGCCCCAAATGCCACGATGTTCTGTGGGCAAGCCTCACTTTCACCGCAAACATTTTGGGAGGTAGGATAGCGTCATGGTCGAGGGCACCAGCTCGAGACCAGATCCAGATGGTGGCCACACTGCTTACTAACAGATGGTGTTGGGCGTGAGCCTCTGAAGTGGAGACAACCGCTGTCCTTGCCTCGTAGAGGTGTTGTGCAGCCGCAGTGAGTTCATGTGTGCAAAGCACTCAGCGCAGTGCCTGGTATAGGCGGGCAGGGTGGGGTGGAGGGCAGCGGGGCGGGGAATGTTAAATAAAAGGTAGCTATTATTTTTCAAAGAGTAGACACTGTAATTGAGTAGAATTCATGCATATCAAACAGTCCCACAGTATGTGAAACAAGACAGTAAACCAGAAGCTCTTGGCCCTGGAAAACAGGCCACCATCAAGTGTCCACCTAGAGGGGTGTTCACTCCAAGACCACCCTGAGCTCCCCTGGGTAGGGGGCGGAATCAGAGGGACAGGTTCTCACTCTCTTCATTCTGAGGCCACACGTTCACCTAAAAGTGCTCTTTGCTGTGATGACAGAGCCCTCTCCTCCCGCAATTCCAGAAGCCGAAGAGGCAAAGGCTGCCCATGAGAAAGATGAGTGTGCTAGAGGGATGTGCGTGTGTACATGAGCACGGGAAAGCTCCCGCCGGGACACTCCTTGGTAGCCACCTCCTTTGACCTGCTCTCTGGCTGTTCCAGAATGAGGTGCTCAACCGACAAATCCAGAAGGAGATCTGGAGGATCCAGGATGTGATGGAGGGGCTGAGGAAGAATAACCCATCCCGGGGCACAGACACAGCCAAGCACAGAGGTAGGCGCTCTCTCCACCAGCCTCCTGGCTCCTGGCCTCACCAGAAACACCTCCAGCGTCTCTGGTCTCCATCCCACACCTGCCAACTCATACCTCTCCAGGCCTTCACACTGTGCTCAGAGCCAGTCAGGGCCTTCTCAGGGCTCCAGAAATTCCCTCTGCCCAGAATAGACCAGATAGACCAATCAGAGATGCTGTTGCCTCTAGATCCCTCCCCAGAACAGGTCAAAGAGCACCTGCGCCTTCCCAGCCCCTAAGCCCATGGGCCCACTGGTGATCTGAGACCATTACCTTAGTGTCTTCCTTCAGCCCAGGGACCTTGGGCTGGCTTTCTGTGACACCTTTGAGGTAGTGGTGTCATTTCCATCCATTATCTTTTCCTGCCCAGCTCGCTTCTCAACAGCCAACCTGTGAGCCGACCCCTTATAAGTCCCTTCAGCAGGCCCAGGTGGCCCTGAGACCCTAAATCCTCCCCTGCCTTCTCCACCTACAGAGCCCAGCCACACTCCAAGCCACACCCCTACCCCTTCCCTCATCTCTCTCCTCTTCTGTTTCCCCAAAGGAGGACTTGGCCCCTCAGGCACCTACAGCTCCAACAGCCCCGCCAGCCCTCTCAGCTCCACCAGCCTCACCAGCCCCCTGAGCCCTTTTTCATTGGTGTCTGGCTCTCAGGGGTCCCCCACTAAGCCCGGGTCCAATGAGGTAAGCTGAGATCACGGAGAAGAAGGTGGGTGGGGGAGGGAGGACTAGGTTCCCATTTGCCTGAAATTATACAAGTTCTGTGCCCATCTCTTCCCCAGAGGCCTCCAGTCGTAGTGCTTCATCTCTGTCTAAGGTAGTCATTCTCACACCCAGTTTGGTGACCCTCCCTCCAGACTTCTCCTTTACTTGTTCTCATCTCCAACTGTCATCCTTAGGTGCCTTTCAGGGAGGTCTTCCTGAGCACCAGGATGGTTAGCAGAGACCCCAAACACTTAATAGGAATTTAACTCTAGGATTGTTCTGTGGGTGAGAGGGCTGAGGGTTGGTGTGGGGGGCATTTGCCTAGTCAGCCAATCAGCAGGTGTTTTCGGAGGCTCTGCTCTGGGCAAGGGACGGTATGAGACCCTCTCAGAAAGATGCCTGAGGGCCTTCACCCACCCAGCGTCCAATGGGGACCAAGACCATTCACAGTGAACAGCCCTCCTCTGGAACGTGGTGGCATATGTCTCAATACTGAGCCACGTGGCTCAGACTGTAAATGTTCTGATGTTCCAAAGAGAGGGTGGAACTTAAACTAGGCCATGAAGCATTGGGACAGGTAGAGGAACAAGGGAAAGGCATTACAGGCTGGAGAGCTGGCGGAAGCAAAGGTACAGGGGAGGGGTGTGCCCAATGTGATGGGGAGACAACGAGGAGAGAGCTTCAGAGAAAATGGGGGACCAGTGCACAGGCGGGGGCTCAGTAGAGGAGGGCCTTGTAGGCCAGGCAGGGTTAGCTCTGGAGGTGGAACTCCATCCAGGCGACGGGTGGGAGTTTGGTGGTCCAGGGCCCCGCCCCAGGCTCCAGCAGTGTTGTCGTCCGCCTCTGCTAATGCTCTTTTCTTCTGCTCTCACAGTGGCTGCTCTTGTTCCTCCTAATGCTCTGGCTTCTCTCTGCCTCAGGAGCCTGGCCCCCCGCGGCCTCCCCTCCCCAAAGCCTACGTCCCCCTGGAGTCTCCTCCCACCGTGCCTCCACTCCCTAGTGAGAGCCGCCTCTGGCCATACCCCAACTCCCCTTCCTGGCACCGCAGTGGCGAGACAGCCAGGGGTCAGGTACCCAACACCCTTGGGTCCTGGAGGGCAGGGACGGAGGGAGCGGGGCCCGGCAGGAGACCAAGTCATTGTTCCCATCCCAGTATTAATTTTGCCACAGCTCAGCTTCTACTGGTCCTCTGTCAGACTCTGGGATAAGCAAAGGGATGGGTGAGACCCTCATACTGGTCCTCTTTCCCCTTTTTGCTTCCTGTGGACAATGAAAACATGAGTTGCTGCCCTACCCCGTGGCAGCCCGTGGCTGTAGGTGGTGGGTTATGCCCCCCTCCCTACCAGCATGACCAGACGATGGAAATCCAGTGACAGCCCCCCAACCCCCACTGGTGCCATTCCAGTTCCTTCCTGCCGTTGTGCACCTCAGACCCCAATCCTCCCATGCTCTCCCTCTCCCCTTGCCTGTGTCTCTGCCTTGTCTGTGTCCTCTGACTCTCATCAGCCCCTGAAGTGTAAGGATACAGACCCTTTTCTCCCCTGTTCTGGCTCCTTCTCTCACCTGGATCCCTAGGCAAGGTCCAGGAGAAACATGCAGTTAGGCTTGGAAGAGGTTGCATGGTGAGTAGAAAGACTCCTCAAATAGGCTCAGCTACTTACTGGTAAGATGCACAACCCTTGAGGGTCTGCCTAGTGAGGTGGGCAGAGCAGGTATCATTGCCTCGGTTTTACGGACAAAGAAAGGTGATAGGACTTACCCATGCTCTGTAGTTGGGCCAGAGCTGGAGTTCGTGACCTCTGGTCTAGTCTCTCTGTACTCCCCTCACTGAGACTTAATTCTTCATCCCCGTGGGAGGGGATGGCTCAGATGATGTCTGAGGTCCCTTTCTAGTCACATGATTCTGTGAGACCACAACCCAAATGCCCTGTTCCTTCCCACAAAGCTCATCTTATTCTTGTGCTCAAGTCTTGGGTGGGATCCCAACAGAATCCACAGATAGCCTTGGCCTTGTAGCCCCCTCCTCCAACCATTCCTCCTCTGGCTCACAGCAAGTCTGTGCTTTTCGTGTTTGCCAGGAGGACTGGTTGGGCTGAGGGATCTCTCTGATGGGCCTCAACGGAGGCCCTCTTGGAGGCCCTGAGCCCTCATTCCCCAAGAGGACCACACATTGGCCAGTCTTAAGGTGGCATGGGTGGGAGGCTCCAGTGTATCCTTGCCCACTTCCCAGCTGGCACACACAGTTTCCCTGCCCCATGTTTTTTCAAAGGTTTGCACTCCCACCACTGCAAAACAAAGAAACACCACCAGGGACCCAATTCTCGGTGGTCACTCTAGCACCATCCATCCATCTTCTCATCCCTTCTCCCTAGCCCATGGCAAGCTATGAGCAAAGCAAGAAAGACCCCCACCAGACCTCACCCCTGGACACCACTAGAGACATCAGCCTTGTGCCCACCAGGCAAGAGGTGGAAGCAGAGAAGCAGGCAGCTCTCAACAAAGGTACTTCCTGTTCCATCCTCCCCTGGAAGTGAGGCTAAGGGTCAGAGAAGAGCCCAGACAGGTGCTCGCTCACATCCAAGGAGGTGCTTCCCCACCTGGGCCTCTCACCTCCGTGGAGGGCAGGACTGAGCCTCTCTGAGAAGCAGGCTGCCCTGTGTCCCTTTTTATGGGACCCACTGGCTACTGTGTCTCCCTGCAGTTGGCATTGTGCCCCCTCGGACGAAGTCACCCGCTGATGAAGGAGTGACCCCGTCGGGGGTGGTGAAGAGGAGTGCCAGCGGGCTCGCCAATGGGCTCTCCTCCCGGGTGAGTGCGCGCCCGCAGGCCCCGAGAGCCCGTGCAGGCCTGAGCGGGGCTGGGAGCCCAGGGGCCTCCGTGTGTCCACCTACCTGTCGCTGTTCAAGAAACCCAGGACTAGAGGAGGAAGGTAGAACAAGAAGAAAGAAGGCAAGCGGGGTTCTCCTTCAGGGAGACGTCACGGGACAAGGAAGCTATACATAATAAAGATATAAGAATATTTAACAAAATTATTGTAATGTGCCAGTGATGAAATACAAACTCAAAAGTCAGTGGTCAGAGTCAAATGTGCTGACCAGAGGCACCGTGTTAGTTTCCTGGGGTTGCTAGGAAGTTAACAAAACAAACTTGGTGACTTAAGACAATAGAAGCTTATTCCCTCACCGTTGCGGAGGCCAGCAGTCCAGAATCAAGGTGTCCGCAGGGTCGGTTCCTTCTGGAGGCTTGAGGGAGCCTCATTCCATGCCTCTCTCCTGGCTCTGGCTGTTGCTGGCAATCTTTGGCTTGTAGACGCACCCACACCCCCCCCCCCAACTGCTGTCTCCACCTTCACATCACCTTCTACTCTACGTGTCTTCTTTTTTTCTGTTTCTTATAAGGACACCCATTATTCGGTTTAGGGCTCACCCTAATTGAAGATGATCTCATCTTGAGCTCCTTAACTTGACTACATCTGCAAAGACCCTATTTCCAAATAAGGTCACATTCACAGGTACTGTGGTTAGGACTTGGATATATCTTTTGGGGTCCACTCTTCAACCCATTACAGGCAGGCTTCCCAGAGAAGGGAAATTTTAAGGGATTAGGGCAGATGAAAAATCTGGGTTGGGGGGGTGAGGCACCAGTCAGAGCCCCGTTCTCCCACTACAGCAGGAGCGCCCCAAGAGTGCTGTGTTCCCTGGCGAGGGCAAGGTCAAGATGAGCGTGGAGGAGCAGATTGACCGTATGCGGCGGCACCAGAGCGGCTCTATGAAGGATAAGCGGAGGAGCCTGCAACTCCCGGCCAGCCCGGCCCCCGACCCCAGTGCCCGGCCCGCCTACAAAGTGGTAACGTCCTCCCAGCCCCCACAGGCATGGCCTGGCATCTGCCAACACTGCCCACGCCCAGGTCCCCACCAGCCTGGCCTGGAGGGGTTGTAGGGAGGGAGGAGGTTTTAGTCAGGGAGAGACCAGGAAGGACCCAAGCTGGGCGCCTGGGAGACCTGGGGGACGCTTGTCCCCCACTGGGCAGAGGAGATACTCCAACAAGTGTTTCCTTTTTTGTGTGTTTAAAGAAAAATAACTCACGAAAAAGGAATGCCTTGACTATTTTGGCTGAAATGAATTATACAAAATTCAGTTAAGAGAGGTTAGTACAAAACCTGCAACCTAGAAGTAGCCGTCACTTGTTTCTAGAGCATTTCCTATGTGCTTAACATTGGGCTGGGGGTTACTGAAGGTAATCATAGCTCAACATCACATGGCACAGTACAAGTCACGATCCCTTTCATGTTATTTCATTTAGTCATTTCAAGGATGCTGGATTAGGAAGTATTACCCCCGTTTTAGAGATAGGGAAAAAAAGTCATGAGAAATTAAGGGATCTCTGGGCCACACAACTATTAAGTGCAGAGCTGGGAGTAGCCCAAACTATTGGCCTAATTTTTCTTTCCATTAAATTTCAGAAATACAAGAAAAATTATGGCCCATGAGTCCTGCCCTCAAACAGTTTATATTCTAATTGGTGGACTAGAACTTCTAGCATATGAAAAAATTAGAGATCAATATAAGACACACCGATTCAGTTGCCCAAAATATTATATATGGCACTGGATGTGAACACAGGTACAGCAGGATGGGGACAGAAGACAGGGATGAGATTTCACCTTGGGGCCCTTGTAGGCGAGCAGGCTTTGGACAAGCAGCATGGAAGGATAGCTCAGCAGTGGGGCGTGGCCAGGTCAGGCATGTTAGGCAGGAATAGTGAGGACACGGGCATGATTAGGGCTGCCTGGAGGCGTGGGTAGCAGTGGAGGTGCCGCTGGCAGTGGGACAGAGGCCCCGCGTGGTCACGACGGTGCTGCCGCCTAGGTGCGCCGTCACCGCAGCATCCATGAGGTGGACATCTCCAACCTGGAGGCAGCTCTGCGGGCAGAGGAGCCTGGTGGGCAGGCCTACGAGACACCACGGGAGGAGATTGCCCGGCTCCGCAGAATGGAGCTGGAGCCCCAGCACTATGATGTGGATATCAGTAAGGAGGTGAGCAGAGTCCAGGAGGGGCCGGGCAGGGGGAACCCCAGGAAGGAATAGAGGCGGTGACCTCGGTCCCTCCACAGCTCTCCACCCCAGACAAAGTCCTCATCCCTGAGCGGTACATTGACCTGGAGCCTGACACTCCCCTGAGCCCAGAGGAGTTGAAGGAGAAGCAGAAGAAGGTGGAGAGGATCAAGACGCTCATTGCCAAGTCCAGGTAACAGGCCTTGGGGTGAACCTCTACTTCCTCTACCCACCCTGGCGCCTAGGGCACCTGGGGCACTAGTACCACTGAATCCAGTGCCCGGACTCATGCGGTTGGGGTTCCTGAGCCTCCCCAGCAGAGAGCAAATGGAAGCAGTGGTTCCAGGCAGCGGACCGGGCCCAGGCACGTGGCAGGGTTGGTGACGCTGCCATCGGTGCCAGAAAGACCTACTGGGCTCGTGCACGCGCTGTCATCAAGACAAACTGATGGGTCGCCCTCCGGTGACTTGTTTTCCCTGTCAAGCCTGCCCTAAATATTCACTTGACCCTTCTAGTTCATTTCTAAATGGTGCAGGTAGGGGTCCCAACACGCGTTTTGCTAGGGTCCCACTCACCCCAGGGGACAGGCTTGCTGGGAACCGGAGCCTGCACGTTCACAGGCCCCTGGATCCCTGCCAACCTCCGTCTGCAGGCCCCCCAAGCCATTCGGACCATCCTGTCCCCCCTCCATCTCTGTGTGTCTGTGCCTCTTTAGTATGCAGAACGTGGTGCCCATCGGCGAGGGGGACCTTGTGGACGTGCCCCAGGACTCAGAGAGCCAGCTGCAGGAGCAGGAGAAGCGGATTGAAATCTCCTGTGCCCTGGCGACCGAGGCCTCCCGCAGGGGCCGCATGCTGTCTGGTGAGACGGGCTGGGCCTCGCTCCGCCAGGGAGACCGGCTGACCAGGCGTAGGGGAGGTAGTGCAGTGCGGCAGGGGGCCAGGGACAGAACAGGGAGATGTTCCTTGAGGTCAGAACGAGCACTTATTGAGCGCCAGGGGCTGTGCTAGTCTAAGGGGGTGCAAAGGGGCCAGAGTTGCTGATATCTGGGAGCTCAGAGCCAGGATGACCCGCCTAGCTGCTGGACAGAGAAATGGCCAGAGACCATGCGGGGAGCACAGGGAGCCATTCTACCTGGGCAGGTCCAGGAAAGGCCCAGAGAAGAGGCGATAACTGAGCCTGATTGGAAAAGATGCAAGTATGTACCAGTGGTGGAGTGAGGGCCAGGTATTCCAGGGTATTCTCTGACTTGCCATTCGTGCTGCATGCAAATAGCAGGAATGAAAAGGGAAGACGGTACAAGCGGCCAATACAGTCACCACCTTGGCTACTGACCCAAACCCACTTTTCTGCTAAGAAAAGATGAGTACAGGGAACTGACTTCACACTGATACAAAGGCTAGTGGGTCTTAGTGGACCCTATGGGGTTGCAGCCAATAGGACTCACTTCCCCTCAGCTTGAGGAGAAGCACCTCGGAATAGAGGAGAATGTAATTGGGAAGAATAGAAGAGACCCTATGAATGGGAGGCTTTGAGGTGGAGGAAGGACAGTGGTTAAGTCATTAGCATGGGAGACGATATTCCCCACTCCTGAACACGAAAGGTGCTTAGGAGGGAGAGGGAAGGGGGGTGGTTCTGAAGGCCAGTCCAGACGAATGCCCTGGACGGATGCCAGGCTTGTGATGACTTTGGTTGAGTGAGCAGAGACAGGTTGTGCCAGCCAGAGTTATGGTAGCCTGGGCAAGTGTCAGATTAGAATCGTGGCTGGACACACAGAGGAAGGAATGGCGTTTCATGTTGGTGACTTGGAGGGTTTCAGTTTTTGCTCTTTGAGGCTCGATTTCCTCATCTGTAAAATTCAAATCAAAATACCTGTCTGGTGGTGTGAGGATGAAAACAAGGTGAGCTAAGCATCTAGCACCATGTCTGTCACCCAGTAACTGCTCAATAAATGCTAGCCGGCTGTAGTAGCAGTAGTGCTGGTGCTGTGGTAGTATTAGTTGAAATAGCAATAGCTAAAGTAGAAATAGGAATGTTTTGTGGGTTTTCTAGCTATTTTAAATATGGATATTTTCAGAAACCAGAGGGTTTTAGGCTACAGCAAAGGAGATTTAAGTAAGCTTTGAGGAAGAACCTACTAGCAGTTGGCATATAAATGGACATTAGAACGGGTGGCCAGGGAAAGCCCTTGGAGATACTTCAGAAACAGGCTTTCAGGTGGGCAGGAGTTGAGGGCAAGAGAAGGGATGGGCTTCAGAGAGCCGCATCTTGCAGCCAGAACCGAAGGCAGCAGAACCAGTTTGGCTACAAGGAGGCTTCTGTCAACCGCCCTGTAGTTTACCTGCAAAATGAACTCGAAGCTTCCAAAGATCAAATTCCACATGCTCTGGGCAAAAGGCAACTTCCTATTTCAAGGGTTAGAGCATAGCACTGTTAAAACTTCCCTCTGCCCCTTGCCCTGTCCCAGCCCCGGCTCTCTCTTCTATAGCTCCCGCGCCAAAGGTGCCAAAGGTGCCATGAAAACAAAACCCACCCTGGCTCTTCAGATTCCCCCTTGATACCCATGGGCTTATATTTCAGGGTCAGTGTGCTGAAAACAAATGGTCACCTTGCTGTTGCCGAGACCCCAACTATTTAAAAAACGGCTGTGGCAGGGCCAGACCTCAGACTTAGCCCACTGTCCCCACCACCCCTGGCCTATGGCCCAGATTCCCAGAGCTGCAGCTCTGCCAGGCACAGCAGGCGCTGTAGGGGGGGGAGTGCTGGGCACAGGGGGCATGAGGACAGTGCAGCGGGCAAGGGATGTCGTTAGTGCCTGAGTGGGGGTGTGGGGCCTGGATGCTGTGGTCGGTGGCGAGCTTGTAGCAGTTGTTGGTATACCTGGTGTGCAGTATCCAGGAAGATGCGGCAATTTTAAGTTTGTATGTGTGGCGTGATGTCATTGCAGTGTCTGTATTGGGTAATGGTTGTAGGTACATATGTATGGGTGCATATGCACGTGTGTTATGTGTGGGTGGAGGGGAAGTTTGAGTACAAATATAGGAGTGTGTCTGTGTGTGCAAAATGTCTATGGGTGTTGAGCGGAGACCCATTATTTATGAGTACAGATGACGTTTGGGAAGCTGTTGACGTGAGTGTACAATACACGGGTGGAGGTAGTGCTTATGAATGCACACATTCACGTGTGATACTTTCTGTGCAGCATGAGGAATGAGAAAGAGTATTTGTGTATATGTCGCGCACAGTGTATGTACTGCACATTTGTGAACACACACCTGTGTGTGCAGGATGGAGGGAGCACAGCCTCATGAATGTGAGTACATGTGACCGATTATGCCTGCAGATGTGGTAGCACTTGTGAACACACAACTGTAATAGCACATCTGTCCAATGCCTATCCACTGCATATGTGAATTTATTTTGATGGATATGTTCCTAATGTGTTTAGTATTTTTCTGACTTCTTAAAGAGGTTATATTTAGCAATCAGTCTTTCTTGCTATCACTCATTTAGTATCATTATAAACGTCCTTATTTTGCTGACCTCTGTGGAAGGGATGCACTTGGGGGCTGTAATCCATACAGATCTGTTTGTAGCCCTGCTAAATGCTACCAAACTGTTACACATTTTTTTGGTAATAGATCTTTATTAGAGTATAATTGCTTCACAATACTGTGTTAATTTGTGTTGAACAAGAAAGTGAATCAGCCATATGCATTCATATGTCCCCATATCCCCTCCCTGTTGCATCTCCCTCCCACCCTCCCTATCCCACCCCTCTAGGTGGTCACAAAGCACTGAGCTGATCTCCCTGTGCTATGCTGCTGCTTCCCACTAGCTATCTATTTTACATTTGGTAGTGTATATATGTCCATGCCACTCTCACTTCGCCCCAGCTTCCCCCTCCCACCCCGTGTCCTCAAGTCCGTTCTCTATGTCTATGTCTTTATCCTGCCCTGCCACTAGTTTCGTCAGTACCAGTTTTTGTTTTTTAGATTTCATTTATATGCGTTAGCATACAGTATTTGGTTTTCTCTTTCTGTCTTCACTCTGTATGACAGACTCTAGGTCCATCCACCTCATTACAAATGACTCAATTTAATTTCTTTTTATGGCTAATATTCCACTGTATATATGTGCCACATCTTCTTTATCCATTTGTCTGTTGATGGGCACTTAGGTTGCTTCCATGTCCTGGCTATTGTAAACAGTGCTGCAATGAACATTGTGGTGCATGTCTCTTTTTGAATTATGTTTTTCTCAGGGTATATGCCCAGTAGAGGGATTGCTGGATCATATGGTAATTCTATTTTTAGTTTTCTAAGGAACCTCCATACTGTTCTCCATAGTGGCTGTATCAATTTACATTCCCACCAACAGTGCAGGAGGGTTCCCTTTTCACCACACCCTTTCCAGCATTTATTGTTTCTAGATTTTTTGATAATGGCCATTCTGACCAGTGTGAGGTGATACCTCATTGTAGTTTGTTTTTTTTTAAAATAAATTTATTTATTTTATTTATTTATTTTTGGCTGCGTTGGGTCTTCGTTGCTGCGCATGGGCTTTCTCCAGTTACTGTGAGCAGCGGCCGCTCTTTGTTGCGGTGCGTGGGCTTCTTGTTGCTGTGGCTTCTCTTGTTGCAGAGCATGGGCTCTAGGCGCATGGGCTTCAGTAGTTGTGGTGCACGGACTTAGTTGCTCAGCGGCATGTGGGATCTTCCCGGACCAGGGCTTGAACCCGTGTCCCCTGGATTGGCAGGTGGATTCTTAACCACTGCACCACCAGGGAAGCCCCCTCATTGTAGTTTTGATTTGCATTTGTCTAATAATTAGTGATGTTGAGCATCTTTTCATGTGCCTCTTGGCCATCTGTATGTCTTTTTTGGAGAAATGTTTTAAAGTTATTTTGTCTACTTTTTACAGAAGATTTTCTCTCTTCAGTTGTGCCTTATATAGATGTCAGTGGGCCTCTCAATTCCTCTCTCTCTCTCCTGATTTTCCTGTTTCTAATCTCTCATGGGCTAGAATCTCAACAAGTCAACATATATCAGAATTGTGTATAAATAAGAGTAACTGGACTCCAAGGAGCTCTTCAATGAATAAATTGTAAGAGCTTCACTGCATGTACATTGTAACATCTATTTGGCTTCCTTGAGATCTTCCTTGCTTAGGTTTTGATTTTTTGACTCTTTTAAAAGTTGAAGTTGCCAGACAACTTAACCATTATCTGTGATACGGACATGCACACGAATGTGTGTTTTGAAAGCATTTGTGTATGTATTTGTATGGCAAGTTACAAGTGTGTTGGGTCATGTGCAAGGTACAGGTTCAGAAGTGCCCATACACACACATCTGAGTTACGTGTGCTGAGTAGAAAGGTTTCATATTGCTGGATCCCATGCACGGACTGTGGATCACTTCCTGTCGGGGAGAGCCCTGCGTGTCTTACGTATGTATGTGGGCGTGTGTAGATATGCGTGGGGCTGCATTGGCCCTTTCTCTTGTGCAGAGGCCAGGGAAGGGGATGAGGTCCAGGGTAGGGTGGGAGCAAGAGACTGGGAAGTTCAATGCCAGGATCCCTCTCTTGGGGGAAACACAGTGTGACCCTGGCTGAGGTCTGGTTCTTCTCTGAGCCTGAGTGAGGATGTTCTCTCACAGCTGCACCAAGGGTGCACAAGGGGCCGGAGACGGTGCAGAGCTTGTTCCTAACAATACGACTCCCCTTTCCTTGTCCTTCATTTTGCTGTTCTCAACGTGAAATAATAATGATAATAGAGTAAAATCTCATTAATTCTAATGTCAGCACTTTAAGGCCTTTAATGATCTGTTTAGGGGTGGATTGGAATTTGCCTTTCCTGGATTGATGAAAAGAGATATTAAGTGACTGTGGGGAGTCGTTTCTGAACCCTCCAGCCTAAGTTAACCGACTGGCTTGAAGCCAGTCAGAAACCTCTGTTTGCATGGAATTGATAAACATGGTGATCACTTGGATTGAGTCCTTGAATGAGGCCTGATGATTCGGATTAGTGTGATTTTACTGCACTATTAATCATTATCACTAGCGATATCACTGCCTGTGAGGTGCCATCCCTCATTCTGTTCCACAGTCGTGGAAAGGTACGTGTATCTCTCCCGGTTGCAGGGATGGAAGCGGAGCCCTGGGCTCAGAGGGGCTGGGCCTCGCCCACAGTCACACTGGTTCTCAGCAGAGCCTGGACTGGGCCAGGGCTCCTCTGGGGCCCCGTGCTCTCCTCCATGGCGCCCCTGGAACCAGGCCAGCTCTGCCTCAGCTTGAACAAGTTCCCAAACTCAGCTGTCCTGCTTGCCTCCTGCCTTTTGCTCCCCGCACCGCACGGAGGGGGGCCTCGCTTGCTCTGGGCGCCCAACCTCCCTCCTCCCACCCCCGGCTGCCCCTATTCACTTCCCTGTTCATTTCTGTTTCCAGTGCAATGTGCCACCCCAAGCCCTCCCACCTCCCCTGCCTCCCCGGCTCCACCAGCCAACCCCCTATCGTCTGAATCCCCACGGGGCGCCGACAGCAGCCATGCCATGCGGGTCTGAGCTCTGACGTAAGCACTTTTCTACTGTATTTCATCCAGCCCAGGGAACGGGGACCCCTCCCCTCACCCCCACTGAGCCATCTGCACCGTCTTGTTCCATCCGGCACTGCTTCTCCCCTCACCCCAGTGCCCCTTGTCGCTCTTTCCCTTCCATCCATCTGCTTGAGCCCGCAAGCGTCCCCATGCAGTGCCGGGCTAGGGCCGGCTGGCAGGGCCGCTTCTTGGATGCTGCAGTGCCAGTGGCTTTGCTTCTCCAGAAGCAGATGGGAACAGAGCTGAGGCCTCTCCTGTCCGCTGTCTGAGGGACTGCCCTGACTCCCACCCCTGCACTTCCTGTCGGCCAAGAAGCCGGCCATCTGTTGAGATACACAGCAGTCCTGCCTCAGAAGCCGCTTGTCCCAGATCTTATTTCTCCCAGATCACTCCCAGATCTTACTATAAATTAAAATAGCCCTGGACGATTCTAGGCAAAGGCTGTGTCCCTTCTTTCCCCCTAGCACGCAGCTGCTCAGGATCAGGCAAGTGAACAAGAATTGACTTCTACTCGTTCGTTCCCCTCTCTCAGGGTTGAGGGGGTGGGCGGGTTTCCACAGGTTTTTGCAAGGCAAGACTTCTCTCTGGGGAGGGTGGGCTGGAGGGTCTGCCCCTCTGTGCAGCGCTTTTCTCACCCGTGTCTCTCTCCTCCAGTGCAAGCCCTGGCTGAGGCCAATGCCGTGAAGCTCCACAGAACCACGTTCTGAAGCCTGCCTCTGCCCATCCTGGCCCCCTGGCCCCCCCGCCCCTGTGCTCCCATGGGAATGCCACAGAGAGCCAGGCTGGGGGCCGGGCTTCTGCCGAGAGGAGCACAGATGCCTCGGTGTCCACATACCCACGGTGCCCGGCCCTGAAGTCCTTGCTGCTCAGACGGTGGTCCTAGGCCAGGGCGTGAGATGGTGGGGCGAGGAGCGCCATCCTATCTGATGCCCACGGCACAGGGAGCCTAGGTCTGGCTCTAACTGGGGTTGTGATGGCCCTACTGGAACACTCCCTGATGGAGAAGATGCCCTGGTGGGGAATGCGCCCTGGGCTATCTTAGGTTAGGACTCCTCTCTTGACACCGAGAATGGCACCCACCATCACCCCCTTCCCCCATCACCCCCGCCGTCCTGCCCCAGCTGTGCCCAGGGTCTTGGCACATCTCTGCTTATGGGTACTCCTTTGGGGTCCAGTGGAGACTGACCACCCTGCCTGAGCCAAAGACAAGATGATGAGAGATGGGGAGAGGCTCCTCGGCTCCCAGAAGACAGTGCTGGCTGTGGATAGAGAGAAGCAGGTCTGTGCAGTGTCTGAGGGCAGGTTGAGAAGGGTAGCAGAGAGAGAGGGAGAGGTCTCAGGACAGTGGGAGGAAAGGGAAGCAGCAGGACTCATGCGCAAGTAGGAGGAGGAGGACGGAGATGAGAAGGGGTAGGGGATTGGTTTCCCCAGGGTGGAACCTTAGGTTAGTGCCAAGTACAGTGCCAGCTGTTGGCTCTGCTTCTCCCACCTCGTCCCCAGGATCAGCGGGGCTGCCAGACCGAGGTCCTGCCATGGAGCACACTGCTGTGGGTATGGAGGTGTGAGCTGAGGGCCCGGGCAGCAGCAGTCTGGGAGATGGCTCTTTCTAGGTCTGGGCCTGGTTCTGGGGTCAGGAGCAGAGAGAAGGACCTGTCTTACGGAGGGTGTGGTCAGCCTTGGGGGCCTTTCCTAAACATTTCTGTGACATTATCTTGTCTCCCTTCCCCCTGAAATGTGCTGTGGGCCAGCTGAGCGTGTGCCCTGGAAAGAGGGCATGTGGCCTTAGTCTGGTAGGCCAGATTCTGGGGCCCTACGCTGCACCCAGGCATCCCAGGCATCCCAGATGAGGACAAGCTGAGGTTGTATGGAAGGTCTCCCTTCTAGCTTGGCTCACTCACAACCCACCTACCCAGGGAGCCAGTAGTGGAGTGACAGAAGCAAAGCCCATTCTCCCTATGCTCCACCCACCTTCAGATGAATGTAGCCAGAGAGGATGGAGGAGAGAGAGTGAAGCTGAACAACCTTGGCCCCTAGGCCTTCTCTTTGCCAGAGTTGCTGCCCAGAGACTTCATTCTGACCTCCAGCGGCCCCAAGAATGATTACTTCATCTTCCAACAATTCCTCTGCACTCCTTCATGGCTGGGACAGTTATGGTTCATATGCAAGTAAAGTTGACAATTCACTCAACAAATATTTATTGAGCACCTTTTATGTACCAGGCACTGTTCTAGGTGCTTAGGATATTCTCATGCTTCTGAGGGTTTACAGACGGGATTCCACTTACCTTCACTTCTAGCAGGTTTTTTGAACATGACCCTTGGCTGCAGTTCCCATCTTCAGCACAGCTCAAGCACCCCAAACCTGTCCTCCCCCCGCACACACTGGCAGGTGGGATTGGCTCCCAGGTAACCGTCTCTCCCTTCTCCATCTTCTCCCACACCTTATCCATCCATAAGAAACGGATTTTTCGGGGCCTTCCATGCCTTCCCCTTTCTTTGTCTGTGTCTCCTTTTTTTTTTAAGTGATATTTTTAGAAATACATGTAAAATACCAAGGGTTAATGTCTGCCCCTCTGCCACTTCTCTCTCACCTCTTATTTCATAAAGCTGGCTCTTTATGTTGCTTTACATGCCTTAATATATGTTTTATGAAGATTATACATATTATAGATGTATATGTAATATATATATATATATTTGTTTGGATGTCTGATCCTTTACTAGAACTCCTGCCCAGGCCCATTTTCTCTCCTTTACTTTCCACATCATTCCTAGCATACTGCGGCCATACCCCATGCCTTTTGATCCAAAGAAGGGGAGAGGAAAGACTTATTTTAAGACAGATCTATTTTATGCTTTTGTTATAAAAGCAAATCTATTTTCAAAATGTGCAATGTCTGAATGGAATTGGCAAATGATGTGAGGAGACTGGGATGGCTGCCTCTAGGTCCAACCCTCCACCCTTCCCTCCTCCTCGGCAGGCAGCTTCCTTCCTCCCATTCCCCAGTCTGCAAAGGGCTGGTCCCCAGAGCTCACCCGGAGAGGATCTTGCCAGGGCAGGACATTCTCTTGCAAGTCCTGGTCTAAGGATTTGATTACACTGTCAACTTTTGATGACTCTCTAGGGTTATTGGGTGTGAACCCTCTTCGAGGAAATGTTTACAGTTGTGTGCACAAAAGTACAGCCTTGCAGGCACACACACCCCAGATGTGCTCCTGGACCACCTCCTTTATCACCCTGCTGGAAAGGGCAGCCTACACCAAACAGCACTGAGAATGTCAGTCTATTCTTTGATGGACCTAGAATATGGTGCAACGGCCAAAGGAAACGGGTTGGCATCACGGGTCCTTCGGGGCAGATACATTCAAGTTCCTTGGACTTCTCACACTCCTTTTCACTTGATCCCTCACTGGTCTGGGTGACACCTATGGCATCTGTCTCCCTCTGTGACCTTTCTTCTGGGGGCCATTGTTAAGGGGATGGTACCCCAGTCTGGCATCCAGACTGCGAAGTCAGCCCGGAGGGTCCCACGGACAAGGTACATCTCAGACTTGCCAAGGACTTTCTTGCTGCTGGGGTCCTGAGCTAAGCCAGCTCAGCTTTCCAGACTGCTTATCGACTATTGAAGTGGGCAAGGGGCTCTCGCCTTGCAAGAATTTGGGCAGAATGGATGTCTTTTGTCCAGATCTGGAATCAAGGGTTTTGGAATCTAGCACAGAGCTCCTGGCCAGCATGTGAAGCCTGGCTTCCCACTTTGGCATTTGCTGGTACCCTATTCCCAGCCTAAAGCAGCTTGCTGTGAATGAAGGGGGCCTAGATGGAGGCCCAGGGGGAAGTAACCGACCTGGTGACAGCCCTGGTTACTAATCTAGGGCCTTCCCAATTAGCACATTACCTCCCTCATCGATAACCAAGAAGCTGTAATCAAATACTGATACTGTCACTTTAGAGTTTTTCTGAGGTTGCAAGCTGTGCGCACTTGCTCCCCTTGGTGAGAGGGATCCTCTTGGAGCAGGGCTGACTATAGCAAGACAGAATTAATTCCTTTCCCTTTAGGTACCCCCTGACAACCTGGCAGCTCTTAAAACTAAGGAAAATATGAAATATACATATATATATATATATATATACACACATATATCTATTTATGCACATATTGGGGCCAATTTGATTTGCTAGTATTAGACAATAAACCGTACAAGGAAATTTATGACTCAGTGTCTTTATTTAGTATAAAAGTGACCTTAGAAGAAGAGTTAAGATTAGATAAACAGAGGGCATCTCTGTCAGGGGACCAAACAGCCATACCAGCCCCTTAGCATCTTTCTAGCCAATGAGCCCCTCCCCAGGGAGGGGCCATCCTGACTGACGGGCGAGAGCTTGCTTCCCTCTCAGCAGCATTCTTTTTAGATATAGGTACTGAAGCACCCAGTGAGTTCTGCATTTGTATCTTGCAAGTTTGTATAAACCCTATGCAGGGAATAAATGGTTTGTACAAGTGGTGTGTCTCTGGCACTCTGTGTCCGTGTCTGCCTGTGGCTGGCCTTGGGGTCCATGAGTGTTTACGTGCTTGGCAGAAAAGGGGAGGGGTATCTGGGGCCATCCTTCCCTGACTAAGAGAACTGGGTTCAGAGCATATGCACCACCCATTCCCCCCATGCCTTGGGCTGTACATCTCAGCCTCCCCAGGCAGGGATCCTGGAGTTCTCAGAAGCATGCCACCTCCCCATGAACTAGGGAATGGTGGTTTGTTGTCGACACCACTGTCATCTTTTTGATCCAGGTGACCCCAGATCAAGGTTTGTCCCAAGGTCCTGTACAATGGAAATATCAGATTCTTCAGGCCCTGGAAGCTTCCACTGAAGGTGGGGGCGGGGAGGTGGTATCAGAAAGGTTGCCCAAATTCTTTTCATCTAGCCTCAGTGTTTTGGGGTCATTTCTCTTGGCAGGTACTCAGTGGTTATCCCTTATTGACACTCAGTGTGAAGGACTTTACCAGAGCTGCTCAATTTGAAATGTTTGTGAGGAGTGAGAGTCAAGAAGCCCTGTGAATTCTATGGGCCGGGGTGTGGAGAGAGGACGTGAGCCCAGGACAGCGGCAGGCTTCCCTGGGCTTCTGCAGGATGTCTGGGGAGAGGAGGAGGCATTAATGGTTCAAGAAAGAGGATATAGGAAGGCAAGCTTCTTGTAATTCTTGATTAGCCTCAGTCTGGTTCTAATGGCTGATTTTCAATTCTGGACACCTCTTCTCATCCCTAAAAGGCTAGTGGAGTAGGTATTTTGTATCTATCATCTATCTACCTATACTTTTAAAAATAAGTAAAATGACTGGATTTTGGATTTTGTAACATCCCCGGGAGAGCTATAAACCTTGATGTCCTTTGTGAAGCAGGGAGAATTGGGACCAGATACAGGCTCAAGACAGACCTTTAGAGCTGGAGGAGGTATACTGGAGAAGTTGTCAATTTCCAGGACCTGGCTCTCTGTCTGCAGCTCCCCCTCTAGGCCAAAGCCATTGACTTGGCGAGGAGGCGGAATGTGAGAACACAGGGCACTGCTGGGTGCTTCTTTCCAAGCATGATGCTCCCAGGTCCCTGGCCGCTCCACCCTCTGGCCCAGATCAGCCCTTCAATCAAGCCAGGCTGGGGTTGCAAAAGGGGGCAGTAGTCAGGAACTATAAATGAAAAAGCAACTAGCAGAATGCCCTTTAAGGAGTAGTGCTCTAACCATGTGGTCGTATATTTATTCTTGAAGATAAGCATGCTAGGGTCAGGCGGCAGCCAGGCTTCAGACCCTGCTGCTGACAGGGAACGGGGGCCATGCCACATGCCCCCTTATCTCTAAGCCTCCAGTGCAGAACTGGCTCACCCCATTGCTGAGACTGATGGAGGAAAGGAGATGCCGTGCTCAACTCCTGGCCCCGCTCCTTGCTAGCTGCATGAAGATTTGGACAAGTCACTAAAATTCTTGAGTCTCAGTTTCCTCATCTGTGAAATGGGGATATTAACTGCCATCTTATGGAGCTCTCAAGAAAGTCAAATGAAAAAATGGATGAAAAACCCTTTGAAAACTCAAATTCATTTACCAATGAGAGGAGTTGGTGGTGACACTGTGTTGGCCCCTTGGCTGCCTTTAGGGACATGATGAGGGAGGAGGGAAAATGTTTCCCAAGGTCTCCCCTTTGCTGGCTCCGTAGCCTTCACTGGAGGACGTCAGCAGGGGCCCTGTTGTTCAGCCATCTGAGGCGTCCTCCCCCTGCCCACTTCTATTCCTCCAGCCCCAGGGAGTAGCTGCACTATGCCAGCTCTTCCCCACGTTGATCAGGACAGGCTTTCCAGGGCCTACGTCCTCCTCCCTGGAGTTGCCCCCCATGAAGGGGGCCCCTCTCCAGGAAGATGGGCTATAGACAAACCCCTTGGGGCCCAACTCTGGTGCCCAGTGCTGTAATCTGAGAATCAGATGAAGAGACCCCAGATTCAGGAGGGTTCAGTTCTGAGCTTACAGGTGGGCTCCATTGTTAGGGGAGGTATTGTTAGTTGCTATTTTATATTCCTGTGGGAGCAGTTTAAAACCACAATTAAGAGATCAGAAGTCTTTCACATAACAGCATTCAACAGTGTAAGAATAATAGTAATATTAATAACAGTAATTATTATAACTATACTAGAATAATAAGAACAATGGCTCGTTATTTACTATGAGCCAGGCACCTGGTTCTATGCACTTCACATGCGTTTACTCACTAATTCTCATTGTATCTTTACGTGATAGGTACTATTATTATCAAAGGAACTGAGGCACAGAAAGGGTGAATAAAATACCTGTCTCATGGAGCTAGGATGAAGCCCAGGGCGCTCTGATTTTATAGCCTGAGCTCTTAACCTACCAGTTTCAATGGGGATGATACCGCCCCCTAGGGGTGATTTTGGAAATTTTCAGGGGAGCTTAAGTTGTCTCAGGGCTAAGGGGGCAAAACTCTTACTGGCATTTAGTGGCTGCACTGCACAGGGCAGGTTTCCAAAATAAATAATTGCTTTCTGTCCTGCACAACTTTAAAATGTACAAATGGACTAAACCCACTACCAGTATGTCAGTCATACTGGAATTCATAATAGGCCTGCCAAGTTTTTATAAGCTAAGTTTTTTTTAAAATAAGTTCTATGAATAACTCAGTAAGTTAGGAGATGGTTATTATGGAGAAGGCTCTTAAGTGGAATAAAGACGTTGTCTCAAAATTGTTGAATAATCTACTCCACGCATTGTCTACGCAATGTATTCTAACACTGCAACTACTGTATATTTGGTTCCAATGCAGTAGGGTCTTACTGAATAAGCAAAGAGGCTGACTGAAAACAGTTAACAGAGGAGCTCTGAGAGAACCAAACATCATTAGAGCAAAGACACTTGAAATGCAAGGGGTCTCCTTGGATCTCCTCAAGAAATGTTTTTAGAAATTATTTCATATTATTGCCTCCTTTATACTTTTTAAGTTTTTTTACAGCCCAAAGACGAACACCTATGTTGTAACAATTATATGTGGAAATGTTTTGGGGAATTTGCCTGTTGTTTTTCTATTTTTCTCTGACACTGTCCCAAGGATCCACATTCAATTTCTCTAAACGGCTTATATCACCACTTCTCTTTCCAATCCATCCTCTCTCCCCCATTGCCTATTGGAAATCTATGATCTCCAAGGCCTTTTAAGGTCGCACAGACTGAATTTTGCCTCAACACATGAGGGCGTTTCAAAACACAGATCTATGTGTCTGTGACATGTCGCCACTACCCCACCCCATGTGGTAACATGGGGAGCTATTTAAACGACACACACAACAACGCAGTTTGGGGTTGGTCGGTTTGTTTTTTGGCTGGGCAGCACGGCTGGCGGGATCTCAGTTCCCTGACCAGGGATTGAATCCGGGCCATGGCAGTGAAAGCCCTGAACTCCCTCAAACTCAGTTTGTTTGCATTCACATGGCGTTTCCTCAATGTCTCCACCTTGCCATCTATATCTTGCTTTGCTATGTTATCTCTACTTCAGTGAAGTTTATTTCCCTCTTTTTTTATATGCAAGGACCTCTGATCTGTTTTTACTTAGCTAACATTAGTTTTTATTCTAGTATTCACTCCCTACTGTTCTTTCATTTTCTTTTATGGAGAGAGGAGTTATTGGGGTTTTTTGGAGGGGTGGTGGTATATAATGGTGGTCTATTTCTCTTAAGTTCAAACTTATTACAAGTAGGTGCAAGCAATCTGCCTACTTACGTCTTCTGTTAAGTCTTGCCTGAACACATATACTGAGAGACATTGTGGTTTTTTATAATTTTTTCTTCTTTATTATAATTAGCTTTGAGGATTTTTTTAATGATGTATGTAGACTGGTCATATCATCTATGAATTGCACTGCAGGATAGAGGGGACATTACAGAGGGAATGCTGGCTCTAATGGGATTGAGAACCACTGCTCTACAATGAGAGAAAGGATGTTAGGAACTGTCCCGCTTCTCTTTTTTTCAGGCCCACAGAGGGTGGAAAGGACGCAGCCACATCTACACAACGGGTGGGTGGATTAGAACCAGGCTTCCTGAATCGTTGTCCAGTCCTACCCTAAGCCTAAATTCATCTTTCATTTTCCATAGCTCAACTTCACAGTCCAAAGTTGGGCACTGCTGGAGGAAAGGAGGTCGAAGCCCTCCGTGTCTAACTCCCTTGGGACATTTTTGCCCTAGATTCAACCGAATCTGGCGCTCTCCTAAGGCTGCCAGCAACAGGTTTTACTCAGTTGTTTGTCGCCCCTAGTGTCTAGCATGGGTACTGGCACAAAGCGAGCAAACTACTTACAAGATGAATTTAGTACTTTTCCAGAGAGAGACAGATCCCAACTCTTCCCACACCTTCCACCAAGCCAGTAAGGAATCCAGGTACTCCTAAATCCCAATTCTTCCATAAAGAGTCCAAATTTTGCAAAAGAGATGGAAACAGCTGAACTCAGCCTCAGGGCACGGGGTGGTGGGGAATACAGGGGTCAGATGGGAGTGGCCTTCTCCGAGTGGGCGGAGCGCGTGGGTGGGAGCAGTGCCCTCTGGGAAGAACCCGGAGGTGTGTGTGCGCGCGCGTGCGCGCGCGCGTCTGTCTAGGGGGAGTTAATGATTTACCAGAGGCTCATTTCACAACTTACCAAGGGTCAGCTTCCCTTGGGCATGTACAAGTTCGGTCCTCTGGGCTCCTCACCCCTTGCCAGCTTCCACCCGGGAGGTCCCCCAGGCAGCCCGCAGCATGATCTCCATCACCGAATGGCAGAGTGAGTGCGAGGGGCTGGTGCTGTCGAGGGGGCTGGCTGGACCGGCTAGGGTGGGTCAAGATGCAGCCCCTCCCAGCCGGGATCTTTCTCTGGGGAACCTGCAAGGCGACCTCTGGAGCTAGTGGCTGGGAGCTGCCCTGTTGGCATCCTTCAGGCAGCACGGCCAGGGCCGGGTGTGGCTCCCTGCCTTCCAGGGGTTGGGGGGTTGCCCAGGGCCCCCAGGTAGCCAGAGGCTGGTGCCTGGAGGAACTGGCAAGTTCACCACTCAGGCTGGTCCCTTCCCCATTCAGGATTCTTAAACATGGGATACTACAAGGGTGGACCTAGAAGGCCTCTGCCTATTGAGACATCTTTCCCCCACAAACTCTTAGGGTAGCCTGTGGCCCTGGCTCCTTCTTATCAGAAACTAAACTCAAATCCCCTCCCCAAATCACTCTGTCCTCACTCCTAAATATCTTTCCCCTTTATTCAGGGAAGAGGGCAGGGAGGTAGTCCCAAGGTCCAGGAGAAGTGGTGAAAACTGTGGCTCTATAAGATTCATTTGGGTGAGTTACTTAAAGCCAGTGTCTTATCTGTGAACTGGAGATAATATTCATTCATTCACTGAACAAATTTGTCTCCTTTATGTACCAAGCACTGTTTTGGGCACAGGGTATGCAACAGTGAATGGAACAGACATAGTCCCTGCTTATGTTCCAGGATGAGGAAACAGGTAATTAGTAGATGAAGTCAGTATGTAGTATGTCAGATGGTGATACCTCCCTCTGGACAAAAATAAAACAGGGTAAAGAGGCTTGGGAGTGCAGGGTAGGAGGGGTGACTGTTTTGTATAGAGTGGTCACTAAGCTTACCTGGGAAGGTACTTTTATACAGAGACCCATAGGAAGTGAGGGAGCAAAGCCACGCAGCTGTCTGGGGCCGGGGGGGAAAATGTTCTAGGAAGAGGGGACCGCCAGTGCAAAGGCCCTGAGGCATTAGCATATTTTGGTGTGTTTGACAAACAAGGAGGCTGGTGTGGGTGGAACAAAGTGAGGAGAGGGGAGAGCAATAGGAGGATAGTCAGGGAGGTCACTCAGAGGCCAGGCTGTGTAAGAATTTTGGTTTTATCTCCATAAGATGGGAAACTATTAGAAGGTTTTGTGCAGAGGCGTGATATGATCTGCTTATATTTTTAAAAGATCACTCTGGGTGCTGGATTGAGAATAGACAGACTGTGGAGGGGTGGGGTCAGCAACAGAGAGACCAGTTTTGAGGCAAGAGATGGTGAAGGAGACCAGTTCCGAGGTAAGAGGTGGTGAAGGAGACCAGTTCCGAGGTAAGAGGTGATGGAGGAAACCAGTTCTGAGGTGAGAGATGGCGGAGACCAGTTCTGAGGTGAGAGGCAGTGGAGACCAGTTCAGAGGTGAGAGGTGATGGAGGAGACCAGTTCTGAGGTGAGAGACAGTGGAGGAGACCAGGGTGGTAGCAGCAAACTGGTGGGGAGTAGTCAGTGCTGGATCTGCGCTGAGGAAATTGCTGAAAGGATTTGCTGATGGACTGGATGTGGGTTGTGAGAGAAAGAATTCAAGAATGCCTCCAATATTTTCAGCCTGAGCAATTAGAAGGGTTGAGTAGTGGGGAAGGCAGGATTTGGGTTTTAGACATGTCGAGTTCCATGTCAAGTAGGTAGTCAGGTATATTAGTCTGCAACGGAGAGAAATTTGGGAGTTGCCAGCGTAGGGATGGTATGTAAAACCATGAGATCGCCTGGGCACAGTTTCTCAGCCTCCCCACTACTGACATTTGGGGGGGAGGGGGATCTGTCCTGTCCATTGTAGGATTTTAGCAGCATCCCTGGCCTCTACCCACTAGATGGCAGTAGCACACTCTCACTCCCACTTGTGACCATCAAAACGTCTTCTTATGTTACCAAATGTCCCCAGGGGAACAAAATTGCCAACCTACCCATCAGCCCCACCCTCCACCCCAAGTTGAGAAACACTGACTTAGGGGAAAAAATAGAAGAGGGCTGAGGCCTGAGCCCAGGGGCAAGCCAACATTAAATCAAAACGGGCTAAGTTCTATGAAGAATGTGCTAAGTAAGTCCTACGAAGAGAAAAAATATGAGGGAACCAGATTAAGTCGGGAACAGATAGTGGACCAGGTTTCCCTGAGAAACCGACATTTGTGTTGAGACCTGAAGGAGTGTGTGTTGGGCAGATAGCAAGTGGGGAGAAACCGCATGTACAAAGGCCCCGACGCAGGAAGGCTCGTCATGGAAACAATGATGTGTTTGGAGTATGGCAGGCAAGGGCAGAAGATGAAGTTGGACAAGCAAGCCTAGGCCCCTTGGCTTACAGGGCCTGTAAGCCAAGGCATGGGTGGGAGGACTCTGTTGCATTCTAAGCCAGTGGGAAGCCATGACGGATTGTACGCTGTGCTAATATGTTTTCCAAGGCCCCTGACTGCTGTGTGGAGAAGGGATAAGAGGGTGGCAGGAATGAAGCAGGAGACTGACTGGGGGATGTCGCAGGAGTCCAGGAAAGAGATAATGGTGGCTTAGAATTAAGTGGTAAGGGTGGAGAGAAATGGACAGCTTTCAAGATACATTTAGGAGGAAGAAGCAATAAAACTTAGCTGTGGATTGAATGGAGGAGGGATGGTAGGAACAGTGAGGGAGACTCAGTGATGGCTCTTGGGCTTCTGCCTCGAGCTGCTGAGTGGGTGGTGATGACATTTCATTCATTTGGGGAAAAGTGTGCCAGGTGCAGCTTTAAGGAAGGAAAATCAATAGCTCAGTTTGGACCTGTTGAGTTCAAGATGCCTTGGAGAGAGAAAACCATGCAGATATGCCAAGTAAGCAGCTGGATAGGAGTTTGGAAGCTCAAAGGAGGCATGGACGAGAAAGATAAATATCAACACTGTCAGCACACAAGAGATACTTAAAGATGTGTAAATTCGTGTGAAACTAGAATGAGAAGAGAAATGAGCTGGAGCTGAAGCCCTGAGCAATTCAAACCCCAAGAGAAGAGAAAGAAGTGGGAGCTGGTGAAGAAGCCTGGGAAAGAGTGGCCAGACAGCAGGAAAGAAATCAAGAATATGGTGTCACGGAACCCACCACAGGCTATTTCAAGAAGGGAGTGGCCAACTGCTGACAGATGAGGACCGACCCCTCTCCTTTGGATTTGGGAACGTGGACGTCATGGGAGGCCCAAGCAAGAGCCTCTCTGTAGAGGGGGTGGGGGCAGAAGTGGACCGGACAGGGTTGGTGAAAGGCACTTTTTCTAGAGCCAGTCTACTGGGTTCACACCCTGGTTCTGCCAGCTGTTGGCTGTGCACCCCTGGGCACAGGTTAAGACCGCTCAGTGTTTCCGTTCTGTTTGTGAAATGGGGCTAGAGCATACCTACCTCATAGGCAGTTATGAAAATTAAACGAGTTAATACACATAAAGTGCTTGGACTGCCTGGCACCATGTGTTCATTAGTGTTAACGATTATTACTATTAATCACTGTTGTTAATTTTGAAAAGAGAAACAAGGCTCTTTCTCTTCCCCTTTGCCTCCTTCCTCTTCCTGAACAATTCAGTCTTAAAGCCATGAGGTAGCAGGGGGGCGGTGCCCAGGGCGGGTGTCAGGGCCCTCGCCGGGCTGGTGGGTTCACACTGGGGTTTGCCTGGTGCCAGGCCAGGGGAGGGGGGCATCCTGGAAGGGTTGGGGTGGAAACTGGAGAGTAACTTTATGGTGGAGGGGCCTGCAGACTCCGCCTTGATGAAGTACTTAAAGAAGCATCATTCAGTAACAGGTCAAATTGGAGCTGTGCATCACCTAATAGATGCAGTGAGAAGAACACAGCATCACCTCTTGTTGATATCTCTGCATAACCTGAACCTAGTCACGAGGAAACATCAGACAAACCCAAACAGAGGGACAGCTACAGGATAACTGGCCCAAATCTTCATAAGTGTCAAGGTCATGTCAAGGAGAGACTGAGGAACTGTTTCAGACAAAACAGCCTGAAGAGACATGGCAACCACATGCCACATGTGATTCTGAATTGGATCTTCTTGCCGTGAATGATATGACTGGGACAACTGATGAAACCTGAATGGGGTCTGAGGGTTGGATGGTAGTAATGTATCAGTGTTAATCTCCTGACTTTGACGTTGTGTCCTGGCTGTATAGGAGAATAAAGGAAACCACAGCCAAGTATTCAGGGGCGATGAGGTAGCCGGTGGCAACTGCTTTCAAATGGTTCAGGAAAAAAATTCTTTGTACTGTACTTGCAACTTTTATGTCCATTTGATATTGATTTTTTAAAAAGTGGGAGAGAGACTTCCCTGGCGGTGGTTAAGAATCTGCCTGCTGGGCTTCCCTGGTGGCACAGTGGTTAAGAATCCACCTGCCAATGCAAGAGACGCGGGTTTGAGCCATGTTCGGAGAAGATCCTACATGCCGCAGAGCAACTAAGCCCGTGTGCCACAACTACTGAGCCTGCACTCTAGAGCCTGAAAGCCACAACTACTGAACCTGTGTGCCACAACTACTGAAGCCCGTACGCCTAGAGCCCTGCTCTGCAACAAGAGAAGCCACCACAATGAGAAGCCCGCACACCGCAACGAAGAGTAGCCCCTGCTTGCCACAACTAGAGAAAGCCCGTGAGCAGCAATGAAGACCCAACACAGCCAAATAAATTTAAAAAAAAAAAGAAGAGAGAGAGAGGGAGAGAGAAAGTGAATGGTGTCTGAGGCTCCCTTGCACAGCCTCAGACCAGAGGGACCCATCCGCCTGCTCCAGGGGATATTGCGTTCCTTGGAGCTGTAGCTGCTTCTGGAAGCAAGAAAGACATTGAACCCGGCTTCAGTTAGTGCTGCAGGGCGGGATCTAAACAGGACTTTGGAGCAGCCATCAGCCCAGTTGTTCTCTGTGGTCTGGGGAGGCCCCCACTTCTCACCAGGTGGCGCCCTGGAGAGCCAGGCCTCTCTGGAGAGTTCCGTCAGTCTCCCAGCTGTTCTCTGCCCCAGAGCCTGGAGACTGGGTGACCTCCAGCAAGGGGTGCGCTGCCCCAACTGTCTGCATCCTGGGGATGCAGGCACTGCTGTCACTCCTGGTGATGTGTCCCATCCCCCACCCTCTCTGCCATGCTTTCTGCCCCAAGAAGAACTTCAGGAGTAGCCCCTGGCTGGTAATTTGACTGAAATCCCTCAGCTACTCCACAGGTGAGAGGCAGAGCAAGGTCTGAGGCTTGTGTGTGAAAAACACAGTTTCTGACCCTTTTCTGTGGGGTACTGTGTAGTTTCTCCGCTGAACGCTGGAAGCACTAATTGTGGCCCATAAAGAAGGCTGCCTCCATTGCAGAAAAATTGTGGAAATGCACCAGCCCTTGAAGGGCAGTGTGGAACAAGTCGGAAAAGTAATAACCATACAAGCCAGCAAATCATTGTTGCAGAAAAAAGTATAATATAGAAGACATGAAATATGAATTTGAGAAATGTATGATTTCTACAAAATGAGTAAGAGGCTGTACTTAAGTGTTTACAGCATGGGCATGTGGATATTCTAACAAAACAAAATGAAAACCCAATAAAATGCCCATGTTATGTTTCCACACAAAAATATCTACTAAGGGAGATAGACCGGAAGGGTGTATTGTCAGAACTGACCTATTTTTATGGTGAGTGTAAGCTAATAAGAGATTTTTATAACGGGCATAAAAACTTAAAATACCTTTGTCATTCAGATTAAAGAAATATGGTTGTGGTCTTCCTCCACAGTACCCTGGCCCGTGTAAAATTATCATGACAAGATAGATGTACTTCTAGATCCTCAACTCACTGTCTCTGAGGGTAGAAAAATCATGCAACATGGAAAGACAGAACACAAACTTCATAATGACCAAGGGGGTTGTACTCTACCCAGTGTCTTGGGTTCTAAGAGATTTAATTCAGGCAGGCATTCTAGGACATGGAAACAGGAAACAAACTTAAATAGATTACGGAGATTTGTCAGAAACAGGAGGAATTGCCATTAGTAGCAGTTGGATTCTGGGCAGCGGGGGTGGGAGGGGGGATATGCTGAGAGAAATGATGTTGTACTCATTCCTAGCAAACCCAGCTCTGCCAAAATGGAGACCCAGTTAGACTGGCATTTTTCTAGAATATGAGTTGAATGAGGTTTCAATCCATAATTTGAACAATAAATCTCATCTCTGTATTTTTAAAGATCTTTTAAAGTCCTTTGGCCTTATTTCTATACTGGAACTGATCCTAATCCTCTTAAGGTCTGTATGGTAACAGATTAGGAAAGATTAACTACCTACCTGAAAGATGATTGTGTTTCATTTTCTTTCAGTTGTAAATATAACTTAGCCAGTAAACCTAATCTTAGGAATAAACCTAACTAAGGAGGCAAAAGGCTTGTACCCTGGAAACTACAAAATGTTGCTGAAAGAAATTTTAAAAGACACAAATAGGTAGAAAGACCCATATTCATGGATTGGAAGACTTAATATTGTTAAGATGTCAATACTACAGAAGGCAGTCTACAGATTCAATGCAATAATCTATCAAAATCCCAATGGCATTTTTTGCAGAAATAGAAAAATCCATCCTAAAATTCACATGGAATCTCAAGGGATCTTGAATAGCCAAAGCAATCTTGAAAAAGAAGAACAAAGTTGGAGGTTTCAAACTTCCTGATTTCAAAACTTATTACAAACCTACAGTAATCAAAACAGTGTGGAACTGGCATAAAGACAGACATAGAGACCAATGGAATATAAAAGATAGCCCAGAAATAAACCCTGGCATATATGGCCACATGGTTTTCAACATGGGTGCCAAGACCATTCAATGGAGAAAGGACAGTCTTTTCAACAAATGATGTTGGGAAAACTGGATATTCACAGGCAAAAGAATGAAATCGGACCCATACCTTACACCATATGTAAAAATTAACTCAAAGTTCATTTTAGCTCTAAGTAAGAACTAAAACAAACTCTTAGAAGAAAACATAGGAGAAAAGCTTCATGATGCTGAATTTGACCATTATTTCTTGGGTGTGATACCAAAAGCACAGGCAACTAAAGAAAAAAATAGATACACTGGACTATATGAAGATTTAAAACTTCTGTGCATCAAAGGACACAATCAACAGAGTGAAAAGGCAACCTACAGAATAGGAGAAAATATTGGCAAATCTTGTATCTGATAAGGGGTTACTATACAGAATATACAAAGAACTCCTACAACTGAACAACAAAAAACCCCAAACAACCTGTTTTAAAAATGGGCAAAGGACTTGAATAGACACTTCTCCAAAGAAGATATACAAATGACCAACAAGCACATGAAAGATACACAACACCACTAATCATCAAGGAAATGCAAATCAAAACCTCAGTGAGATACCACCTCCCACCCCTTAGGATGGATGCTATCAAAAACAAAACAAAGCGAAAAAACAGAAAGTAACAAGTGTTGGTGAGGAGGTAGAGAAGTTGGAACCCCTTGTACACCACTACCGAGAATGTAAAATGGTGTAACTTCTGTGGGAAGCAGTATGGTGGTTTCTCAAAAACTTCAAAATAGAGCTACCACATGGCCCAGCAATTCCACTTCTGGGTATATACCCAAAAGAAGTGAAAGTAGAGTCTCGGAGAGATATTTGTTCACCCGTGCTCACAGTAGCATTATTTACAATAGCCAAAAGGTGGAAGCAACCCACGTCCATCCACAGATGACTAGGTAAACAAAATGTAGTATATGCATACAATGGAATATTATTCAGCCTTAAAAAGGAAGGAAATTCTGACACATGCTACAACATGGATAAACCTTGAAGACATTATGCTGAGTGAAATAAGGCAGTCACACAGAGACACGTACTGTATGATTCCAATCATATGAGGTACCTAGACTGGTCAGAACCATAGAAAGTAGAATGGTGGTTGCCAGAGAGAGCGGGGAACGAGGAGTTGTTTAGAGGTTACAGAGTTTCAGTTTTGCAAGATGAAAAGAGTTCTGGATGTGGGTGGTGGTGATAGAACAACAAGGTGAATGTACTTAGTACCACTGAACTGTATACCTAAAAATGGTTAAGATGATAAATTTTACTTGTATTTTATTGTAATTTAAGATAAAATTTTCAACTTGATTCAATTTAAAAATGAAGCAACACAATGAACTGTCATTTGTTGACTACCAGAGCGGCACAGATAAAGTAAAATTAACAATTCTGTGTGATGGAGGGGGTTTAAGAGAAAGGGAGTTTCATATCCTAAATAGCCTATCTGTGCTGGGCTCCCTGGCTCTGAGCCAACTCCTGTAGTTCAAAGAATGAGGAGACACAAAGCAAAAGACACGCTGCTGCTGGGACCCACCTGTGGCTGAAGTTAGGGTTCCGAGGGGTGTGTGGCAGGGCAGCCACGGTGCTGGCTGTGGTGTAGACTCCGAGGTGATGAGCACATTTCTGGTCAATGACTTCTCTTTCCCAGTCAAGTGTGAGAGGTCGTCATCGGAAGGCTGGGAAGCGGGGCGGTTTAGAGAAGGAAGGAAACACTGTAAAGAGCTGTTCAGGAGGGCAAGCCTCCTGAAATAGGGCAGGCCAGCTGGGCAGTTGTGAGTTTTCAGTGGTACCCTTTGGCCCTGGTGTGAGTTGGGCATCAAGCGGCTCCCAAAAGCAAGAGGCCAGGAACAGAGTAGGCAGAGGGTTGTGTTCAGCCAGAGACCCAAACCCGATAATGATCTAGGTGACGTGGCATTTGAAGACAAGAGGAAACTGAAAATAGAAAGTGGTGAGAGTATCACTAGCTACCTCATAGAGATGTTGTGAGGACAGGACGCCAGAGTATATAGAACTGACCAGCAGTTTCCAGGTGCTAAACATAGATTCGTGCCCATCCTTCCCTTCCCCTCCTGTCATTCCCTGAGAGCACAGAAGCCAAGATTCCTGGATGGCAATGGAGCCATGCCATCCCCCGCCCCCCAGAGGGAACCTGTCCAGCGGCAATGGGGGGAAGTTTCAGCATCCCAAGCTGCTCCCCAAAGCCCATCCCACCACAGCCTCCTTGCCCGTTGCAGAGATTGGTGTGGGCACCACCGGCTTCGGCATCTTCTTCATCCTCTTTGGAATGTTCCTGTACTTTGATTCGGTGCTCCTGGCCTTCGGAAACGTGAGTCCCCAAGCCCTGTGAACCTACCTGAGGTCTCCGTTGCCAGGAGGGTCAGCCCTGAGTTTATTCAGATCGAGCCCATCCAGGCGCTGGGCACCACCAAGCGCAGGCAGGCAAGGGGTGGCTGGGGATGGATGGGGAGGCCTATGGGGCACAGAGAATCTAAGGACCTGGATTCTCATGCCAAGCTCTGGGCAAGGCCCTGAGGGTACCAAGATGAATCAGACGCCCCGTGAGAATCCCACCACCTAGGGACAGGAATGTCACATCAACATACACGACTGGGGAGGAAGACAGGGGCAGTGGTAAAGTCACTGTAAGATAAACGCATCTAATATGAAACAAGGTGCTTGGAGAAAAGAGAGCGCGCCCTGTGGGAGAAGGATGAAAAACAATCTAGAAAAATAAGTGAGTGTGGGGAGGATAAAGCACTTCCAGGTGGATGGAACAAGAGAAGAGGTATGGAGAAGGGGAGGGAAAGCATGGAACGTGCTGGAAGAAAGCCAGAGAGTTAAGTTTGACAGGAGGCCAGGCACTCTTAAGGGATCGTTGGGGGGCAAGCTGAAGGTGGTGACAGGGCCATAGAGTGGAGGGCCTGGAGAATGCTGCCACAGGCTGGAGCCCTGACACTGCCCTGTGGCTCTGGGTGTGGCTGCCTAACCTATTCAGGCTTCAGCCTTCACCTTTGTAAAATGGAGAGAATCTCACTATCTTTCCCATCTTACTTAGGAGGTGTGATGAGAAATGATATCATATAAGTGCTTGGGATCCAAGAAATTGGGTCGAATTGGGTGACAAGCTAGAGACCTTCAAAGGTCTCCTGGTCCACCCTGCCTCTGGGCACTTCTGTTCCTAAGCAGTTCAAATTACTCACCCTCTCCAATATTATCCCTCCTTGAAGAGTTAGCAAGTCCTGCCGCATGCCTGATGCGCAGCTCCAGGCCTGGCCCCTGACTCCCGAGGGAGCAGAGGGAGCCAGGGTGTTTGTTCTCACACCCACCCCCTCCCTCTCCCACAGCTGCTGTTCCTGACTGGCCTCTCCCTCATCATCGGCCTGAGGAAGACGTTTTCCTTCTTCTTCCAGAGGCACAAGCTCAAGGGGACCAGCTTCTTCCTGGGGGGCGTGGTCATCGTGCTCCTGCGCTGGCCCCTCCTGGGCATGTTCCTGGAAACCTATGGCTTCTTTAACCTCTTCAAGTGAGTGCAGGTCCCCTTCCCCTGGATGGGCCCACCAGGGCCTCTGAACGGCTGAGGTCAGGTTTGGGCAGCATGACCAGCAGTGCATACAGAAGCTGGACTTTATCCTGCAAGAGACGGGAGCCTCGGAAGGGTTGAAAATGGGGAGGAGCATCAGGTGGACACCAACCGTAGGCCGAAGGATAAGTTGGAAGAATCAGCCCATCCATCAGTAAACATGGAGTACCTGCTGTGTCCCCATCACTGTGCCTGTCACCAGGGAGGAGACACAGGACCTGCCCCCAAGTCTGGCCATCCAGATAGGGAGGAAGGACAGTGAACTAAAATCTACTAAGCCCCTCACATGCACCAGACATGCTCACAAGCATCCTCTCATTTTGTCATCTCCACAACCCATCGTAGGATTGTCCTCTACTTGCAAATCAGGAAACCAATGCTCGGAGCCCTGCCCGAGCTCTCACAAGTAGTATGCAAAGGATCTGAACTTGACCGAGGTGTCTCTGGCTTCGGCCCGTCCAGTGTCAGCCTGGGCCTGGTGAAAGACACGGTGGAACTCAGCAAAGGTGTGTGGCCTCCATCAGGGCCAGGGAGGTGTCCCAGAGGAAGCAGGACCTGAGACAGGCCTTGAGGGGTGGGTAGGGTCTCAGAGAAGACTGAAGGGTCCTTAAGGAGAAGAAAGAAAAGGATACTGAGGAAGACCACCTCTGGGGCACTGTGGAGAGAACAGGGGTGGGATGGGGATGATGTGGGCTAGAAGAATCATGGCTTATGGACTCATGGGAAGGAGCTGTGGACCAGGAACCTGAGGCTAATCGGAACCATCAGCTTACTCAGTGTAGCCTTGAAAACACCTGATCGGCCCGATGCCCTAGACTTCAGAGACATCATGTAGTGTGGTTGCAGGAAATGAAATTCTCTCACATGTGTTCTGCCACCCATTATTTTTCAACGATGTCATTATTCAAACAGTCATTCATTCAAATAGTCAGATATATAAAAAGTACCTACTACGTGCCAAATACAGGGCTAGGTGTGGGGATATGGCACTAAACGAGGAGAAACTTCCTGCGGAACTTGCAATTTAGCGAAGAAGACTAACTCTGACAATAGTTACCATTTATTGAGGACTTGGAAGTGTGAGTGGGGCCACTACAGACTCAGCAGTTCGAACCAAAAGTAAACCTTGAGAAAGACACCTTGCAGCAGCATGGAAGGGGCAAAAAAAAAAAAAAAAAACTCAGAGCTATAAGAGACCTCAGAGACCCAAGCGAACCTCAGGGACCTGAGGCCCAGGGAAAGGAAGTAGCTCAGCCAGAACTCAGATTTCTGCTCCCCTTCCCACACCAACCTCCATGCCTCCAAGCCCTTTGAGGGATCACCCGTCCATGCCAGGGTGTGTGTGGTAAGAATGGGGCGCCGAGGCGTGGGGGAGAATAGTGAGCGCAGCCTCCAATAGCGATCCATGCCTGGAGCCCAGGAAAAATAATAATAAAAATAAACATTTCCCAAGCATTTCTCTGTGTAAGGCCCTATGATGCAGATACGATTATTATTAACCCCATTTTACAGCTGGAAATAGATTCAGAGAAGTGAAGAAATTTGCCTAAGTTTATACAGTGCCAGTGAGTGGTAGAGCCAAGATTTGAACCCAGGGAGTCTGACCTCAGGGCCTTCATTCTTAACTACTCCACTTGGCTGCCTCTCAAAAAAACAGGGGTGCAGAAGCACGCCCACCCCCAGTGCCCAGGAGCCCATTCTCTTGGGAGCCAAAGCTGGAGCCTTAGGGGGGACCTCAGCCTCGCTGCCCTCATCCTCCCCTCTGGGGCCATCACTGACCACTCCCTCCTCCTCTCTGCTCCTAGGGGCTTTTTCTCTGTCGCCTTTGACTTCTTGGGCAATACCTCCAACATCCCCTTCCTGAGCGTGGTAAGTGGATTATGCGTGTGGCTTGGTGGCGGTGCCTTGGGGTGGGGGAAGCACATGGACTTAGTAGAACAGCAGCCCCAGGCGCAGTGGACACTTCCCCATCTCCCCTCAAAGCCCCTTCCCCAGGTGGGCCAGCCTCAGCTCCTCTTCCCCTCCCTCTACCTTCTCCATTTGACAATAGCAGATGAGATGACGGGTGTGAGCAGTTGTGCCAAAGGTGTGGGTGTAGAGAACGGTGTTTGTCAGTAGCTCCCTATTACCGCCAAAGAAACGGAGCCTTAGGGAGTCTAGGTGACCCAGCCAGAACGTGCCAGACTTCCGGAGAGAGGGCTGAGTCTGGGCCCCAGGCAGAGAGAGGATGTGTGACAGCCAGTGACAACAGGAAAATCAGGTGGCAGATTCTGTCCTCTCCTTGAGGCAGGCATGGGGCAGTGGTCCCTAGCCCCTGCCCCTCCCTTTCTCTGAAGCACCGGACAGAATACAAGCTCTCTGAGAAGCTCAGAGAGGCTCTAAGCCAGCACCTTGACATGCCCGCCCCCTGGACACACCCCCGCTGTCCCCTCTCCATATCTGCGCCTGGCACTGCTCCCAGCTCTCAAGGCCAGCTTCGTAATAACCTAGATATTGAGTCTGCTCTGCGCTCTTTGTCTGGAGTAATGATTCTTGGCTCCCACAGCTGTTCCGGAGGCTTCAAGGCACCAGCTCAATGGTCTGAACAGCAGAGATAAGCTGCTTGAACTTGAATCATTGGTTCAGGGGGCTGGAAAGGAAATGGGGGCCACCCCCTCAGGCCCCCACCCCACACTGACTCATCTCCCCATCATACCCGGACCTCTCCAAGTCCAGAAGGAAGGATGGAGCCGAGTGACTGACCTCAAATCCCCAAGTCAATGCAAGACGCTGTCAGGACCATTGGGAGCAGAGATCCAGGTCCTGTGGAGGTTGAACGGGGATCACACCCCACCCTGTATTTATCAGAGGAAAAGCAAAGATTAAATCCCCAAGCTGTAAATGTGCCTGAGACTCAAAGTCAGTGTCTGTAGCCCATTAAGTCCATTCTCTGACTCAGGGCAGGCCCACACACATGGCAAGAAGCAGGCCTGCTCTCATGACCTATCATTCTTACCCCCGTGTCTACTAGTCCTAATGAGTGAGATAATATGTTTGCAAGCCCCTGTTAGCAGGAGGTATTAAACAAGTAATGGGTATTAATCCCCATCATGGTGGGAAGTGCTTCTCAGCCATTAATTAGGTGGATGTCTGCACAGCTCACCCACCAGGTAGCCTCTGTGCTGAGGTAGAGACATAGCCCCTACCTTCCAAGGGCCCCAGTCTCTGTCCTGGGAAGCACTTTATTCAAGGGTAAAGCGCATCCTTGCAGGCCCAAGAAAGAGACAGGAGTCCCCTGCAATGCGTACATTTAATAAGTCTCTGTGAGGGCCCCTGTGTCTGTACGGAGCAAAGGAGCGGGTGCTGAGGGTGCAAAGGGAAGGAGACCTGCCCCACTTCAAAGCGAGGCTCACAACAATTCCAAAACCGTGTGATCGAGGTGCCACAGGACATGACGGTGGGGCTCCAGGAGCAGCACCTCCGGACACACTGCAGCTGGAAGGCACTCCTCCGAGTTCCCTTAGTGCTTCCCAGGTACGCCCACCTTCTAGAGCTGCAAAGCTGCTGCTTTCTTAGCCAGCTGCTCACATACCTGTCTCGCCCATCGGACCTCGGCATGTTCATCTCCAAACCCTGTGCTGAGCCCGTGCTCAGGAATTGCTTGGGGAAAGAAGGGAGGAAGGAAGGAAGAAAAAAAGAGACAATCCCCCCACCCAGTCCCAGATCCCAGCCCAGGAGCCGCCTTCTGGTCTAAGACCCCAACTGAGCTGCCAGAGCCGGGAGCACACGGGGAGCAAGGAGCCCCCGGGGCAGACTGTGCCACCTCCTCCCCCTTCCCCCCCTGCATCCTACTCACTTGTCTGGAGGGGGAACACTGCCCGCTGACACTCCGCCCCCCCCCCAAACAGTCCATTTCCATGTTGTTTGGGGCAGAATGGCTCTTGGAGTGGGTCGGGGAGAAGCGGTGAGTAGGCTGGAAAGAACTAGCGGCAATCAGAAAGCCAGCCTTGGAAGGCTTCTGGAGGGGCAGGACAAGGCTGATTTCAGTCATGAGAACCAGGAGGCGGGAGTCAGCCGTCATCGGCTCGGAGCGCCGTGCTCTCTGAGGGGGTCTGAGGAGGAGGGAGGGGGAGGCAGAGGTGGGCCTATGCCTGGAGACGTCACCGTGGGCTTTATAAAAGGGACGTGACCAGGGAGCTGGTGACAGCGAGCCCAGGAGCCCATCTCCCCTCCCTCCAGGTGTTCACTCAGCCAAGCAGTGTCATCACCTCGGAGACCCCTCAGGACGGAGCCAAGGCAAGGTAGGTGCGCTGCAGCGCCCACACAGGGGAAGGCTCTGGCCGGACTCAGGGAGGCTCCCAAGCTGGGAGCAGGAATTCAGTTCCAGGTCTGACAGAGGTGTCCCAGGCAGGCCAAGGGGGTGCCGATCTTCCCTGATTACTCGGCCGGCCAGATTTATTCTGGGATGTCTGGGTAAATGATGTTAACTTGCACTTTATGAAACCAGGACCTTGGGGATTCTTTTCTGTAGAAAGAATGAATACAGTGAATGAACTCTCTGGCTGGAGTGAGAGGCTACAGAAGCTCTTGGAGGGAGCTGGGGAACTCCTGGGGCTCACAGGCTCAACAGGACTCCTCTGGGCAGTTCCCTGATGTGTGGATGGCAAACACAGACCTAAACAAAGAGCCCCCGGGTACCCTGCCAGCCCTGGCACTGAGAGATGGGATCACCGCAGAAGGGAGCTGCCCCACCCCAAAAGCTTTCCAACCAAGCCTGGAATTCCTGTTACTCTCTAGGTACAAAACCCCTGGGACAGGGAGACCACAAAAATGCCCACTGCAGGACAGCTCGTGGCCCCTTGGAAGCTGATGGTTCTTTTCCAAACAACTCAATTCTACCACATGTGTTAAAAGCCCCTGTGCTGGGCAGTGAACCAAGAGTTGGGGGAGGGGTGTAGGTGTGCACTGGGGACAGGTAGTGGGGGAAACCCAAAGTTCTCATGGTAAGTGCTACCTATGATGGGATGGGGAGGGTGCAATACAGGTGAGAGGAGCATGAAGAAGGAACACTACCTTCTAACCCCACAGCCTGCCCTCTGCCTCCTTCCCCACTCACCGTCCTGCTTCTGAAGAGCAGCCTGAATGCTCCATGTGAAACACTAATCTACACACATTCCCCTCTGGCTCACACCGCCTGGGGATAAAGCCCCTGGTGGCCCCTTCCCCAGCCTCATCACTCACTCTCTCTCCAGCAAAGTTTCACCCTCCTGGCAGGCTGGAGGGCCTGCACTTCCCTCCACACCCAGCTCCAGCTCCCTTGCTGGGACTGCCTTCAGTGCGCAGAAACTCAGCTCAGGTGCCACCCCCTGCAGAAAGCCTGCCTGGACCCTCCACATCAGGCTCCCATGGGCTCTGACACACCCCCGGGCCTCGCCACCCACCCTGTGCTCACGTGCCTCCAGCCTCTCATTTACCATGTTATTCTGAGATGATTCTGATTACGACTCAACTTCTTGTGCTAGATCCCAGGGGAGGGCCTGGGGGAAGCAACCCTGCGTCTTAGCACACCTGTGCACCCATAGCGCCAACCAGGTGCTGCGATCAGGAATGATTTCTGAACTGACCTGGACCCCGTGCATCCATGGTCTGAAGCCATGAAAGAAATGGTTTTACACGTTCTCTCTAGTGGACTGATCCTCTCTCTACTCCATGCCCTGCCCCAGGCCTTAAGGCAGGTGCAGAAAGCCATGGTCTGGGTTTCAGGGTGTCACAGAGTCAAAGTCTGCAAGGATAAGTGACCATCTGAGGGGACAGTCGGTGGCCAGTCTGACTCAACGCTCTTATTTTATACACGGAGCAATGACGTCTAGAGATGGGAGGTGACTTGCTCTTGTCTCACAGGGAGGGAGGGTGGAGCTGTGGCTATAGATCTGAGTCCTCCTAATCCCACTCTTACTCTACCCCATGCCTGCGTCCCGGTGGAGCAGGGAGAGGAAAGGGGAGTGGGGGCCACAACAGAGGGTTGGATGGGGCTGAGCCACCGTTAGGAGCTGACGGGCACAAATGATAGTCCCCCCCGCCCTGCCCCCTTACCGCTCGACCACAGAGGGAGGCTCGAGCCTTTAGATCTGGCACCCACTGCCTTCTGCTCAGCCTGCAGTGCTGCCTGGCTCTCCACCAATTTGTCTTTAATCATGTTTGGACAGTCTCAAAATGCCTGGTGACTTTTTCAAAGAGAAATCAGACTTGGGAGCTGGAAGAGCTGGGGGGGCGGTGGTGGGGATGAGAGGGGAAAGGGGATGAAGAGGGGGTCAGAGCACACAGCTCCCACCTCAACAGCCAAAATCATGAAGTCGATTATATTCATATCCTCTCAGAGACCACGGGGAATAGAATATGGAGACAGTTGACCTGATAAATCAGGGAAAGTTTTTTTCTCTTTCCTGAATTACAGGCAATAAGACAATTTAATGACGGTTTTCAAGGCTATGAAGGGTTATGAGAGCAAGCAAGATGATTGCCTCTTTCTTCATTTTTCTTGAAAAAGGAAAGGAATTAAGTTCCCATTGCAGCAGGAGGGAACTGGGCCAGGTTCAGGAAGGCACATTCTAGTGGGGAGAGTGGAGCACAGAAAGCTGTCATTTATGCAGAGCCCAGCACGGAGGGAAGAAGAGCCTGCTCCCAGGCTCCAGAGAGCAGGTGGGGACCTCAGCGTCCTCCATTCAGTGGAACTCCTTGCCCCACTTCACTTCACCTTTCCCTGCTCACTGCCACACTGCATCTCCTTCCTTGTTTCTCCAACATTCCTCTCAAGCAAACCTGAGGTTCAGAATCCCGGCCATTTTCCAACCCAAGCAGTCCTGCCCCTTCCACTGATACGGATGCTTCCTCCCTCCCTCCCTCCCTTCTTTCCTTCTCTCCTTCCTTCCTAACCTTACTGGCCTCACCTGCAGGAAGCCCTCCCTATGATTCTCACCCAGCATGAGTTCAGCTTGGACGATACGGTGCAAGTGGTCTCAGTCCCATTTCTGTGCTGTGTCTGTTCAGCCTCATCCCTCCACTGAGGGCCTCCAAGGGCAGGGGCTGTCTCCTTCCTTCCAAGGGCCCCACTTCATGCTGGGATCTGCCCCATCACCCAGCCCAGAGGGCGTGCCTAACCTAGCCCCTCCGCCCTCTCTCTGTCTTGGTCTCAGGACACTTCCGGGACCACGATGAACTCGCTGGTTTCTTGGCAGTTGACGATTTTCCTCTGTGCCGTCTCCTTCAGGGAGACATTAGAAAAGGCGACGCCCATGGAGAACCCTAGAGCCACAGGTATGTGTTGTCTGGGAAGAAGGGTGGGAGGGAGCAAGTGAGTTGTTGCAAAATGAGAGTTACCATATTCTTCAGATGTGGCTAGTCTCGTGACGTGAATTTAAAGCTGCGTTTAATGGAAACCTAAGACTGATACATGCAACACGTTTAGGGGCCTCGCTAACCTTGCAAGCAGGAATGTCTTGCCACTGTTACGGACATCAGGAGGCTCACCCAGGTTCAGGTGCTTGTTAACCACCGAGCTCCTGCATGGTTTTCTCTGCTCTCCGCCAACCACCTCTCTGTGCAGATCTGCTAGGAAGGAATTTACTATGCAAGTTTGTCTTACCAGTGACCTCAATTCCTTTATGGGAAATTTGAAAAAAAAAAAAATAGCCTACACAAAAGGACAGATCCTTAATATCTGTCAACATTATGAGTTCATTGTGAAACTGATGAGCTGGAGAAACTGAGGCCCAAAGAGGTAAAGAAACGTTCCCGAAGTCACTCAATCCAATGCTGCAGAAACCCAGCAGGCACTGAGCTCCCAAAGAGTGCCCTCTACAGGGCATGAGCTAGGATGGTGCTCATCCCCAAGTCAGGAGGGGGGTTTAACACTGCTGGGTGGTCAGCTTGGCCTCTGGGGACCTCAGTTCCTCTAGCTCTGGAACTTGCAGCATTCTCTCTATACACAAGATATCACTGTGCCCATAAGCTATCCCAAAGCAAAGAGAACATGGCCCTGGGTGTCCCTTGCCAAGTGTGTCTTCTCTCCTGGGATCGGGTGTTCTTTCTGGGTGAGGCAGGATCCCCCAGAGTATAACATCATCACTGCCCTGGGGACATTGAGCTCTTAGCTCTTTCTGGCAAAAGCTTAGGTGATGCTAAAAACAATAGCCTAAGCAGTGATCCTCCTGCTGGGATGGTGGCTGTAGCTAGAAAGGAAGTCATTGTCTCTTCCATCTCAGCCAGGCCCAGGGCCCTCCTAGGAAGATTATAACTAACTCTGGACCATGCCCGCTTTTCTCCAGAGTATGCCAGGGCACTGAAGAGCAGGGCTCAAAGCCAACTACCCTCCACCCAACACACACCCACTCACACCCCAGACCTCATTTCCACTGATCTCCTGCCACAATTTGCTGGGGTCATTGTCTCCTGAGAGCTAGTTGCACTACTTTACTGCTAAAAGGTATAGTGCACTTAATGAGCCTCGCATGTGGAGTGCCTTCCAAATTAGCCTCATTAACCCTCAGTGTGAAGGGGAAAGATTATACCTGGAGTGGGGGAGGTGAGCTGGTTGAGGTGACCCAGATAATTTCCCTTCTTTGTTGAAGCCCTTATATAGCCTTTTAGGGGTCACACTTGTTGGGGGTGTGGAGGCACAATGGTCTTAGCTTCACTTGCTTCATTTCTGTAACTACGAGCCTTTCATTAGCTTTTATATATTTAACAAGCATTTTTGAGGCCCTAGTATGTGCAAGGCACTGTTTTCAAGACTCTGAGAGACTCAGAGATGAATGAACATGGCCCCAATCGCCCTAGGAGCTCAGTCTAGTGGGAGCCAGCACAGGCGGGCCAGCCAGAGGGCCACGAAGAGGAGCAAAGCTGGGTGTCCAGCAAATACTTGAGTTTTCTTTATTTCCAAGCTCTACCCTGCTTGCTTCCTAAAAAAAAAAAAGTAATCAATATAAAAGACATTCAAGACAATTCTGTAAAACATGTGAAATCAAAGCTATATTGAAGGAAGGAGGAGCAAATGGCCTAAGCACCCAAGCTAAGATGCTGCTGAGCTTGGAGCTCTGAGCTTCCTAGGGGGTCAAGGAACAAAAGGGAAGCAGAGGATGGGGATGTGAGTAGGTGTTCCAAAGCCGTCTTTCCCGGGCCCCGGCCTCACGTCAGCTTCTCCCTGTGGCTCTGTCCTAGGCCCGCGGCTCAGACCTCCGGCGCTCCTGGCCTCCGGGGCGCAGAGCCCGCGGTGCGCGGAGAGGAAGCCCGCCGCTGCCGGGCCGAGCCCTCGGGGGGCCTCGCTGTGCCCTCCACCCGAGAGCTCCGCTGGGCCCCAGCTGCCGGGCCTGTGCGCCCCCCGCAGTCGCCTGATCCCCGCCCCGCGCGGCGCGGTGCTGGTGCAGCGGGAGAAGGACCTGTCCGCCTACAACTGGAACTCCTTCGGTCTACGTTACGGAAGGCGACACACTGCGCCGCCCGGCAGCCGCGGCCAAGGCGCCGGGCGGGGCTGAGCGCGGAGGTGCGGCCTTAGACCTTCCAAATCGGGGCCGGGGCTGGGGGCGGGGCAGTGGGAGGGGCCTGCAGTTTTTTTCCTGAAGCAATAAAGGAAATGCTGCCGTCTCACCTGCTTGTGATCCGTGGCTAATTTTTGCAAGCGGCGCGGATGAGATTGTTCCCCTTCTCTCTCAGTTGGATCTTCAGCTGGTTTTAAGAAGGCTTTAGTGTTATCAAGGTCAATGATTTTAAAACTAGAGGTAAAGCACCAAGTTGTTTTTTCCCCCAATTCGGGGCAGATGGGTACTTTTACACACACACACACACACACACACACACACACACTGAATCTCTATAAGACTTTTAAAAATAACTAAAAAGAAGCTCAAATTGGATGCTGCTTGGGTGGTGTTACTGCAATATCAAATAGCTATAAAAATTTCTGAAGATGTTCTCTTAATTCCTAGACCTATGTCACTGCAGATGGGTAACCAACATTTTTCAGAGGGCCATGAGCCGACACCCACACTTTGAGTAGCACTGATCTAGGCCAGGGGAAGGCAGATGGCTTAAGTACCTTCCCCTTTCCCAGGGAAGTTTTTAGCCAGTCGGACAGCCTGATCTGGAAGATGATGCCAACCACTGCCCCCTCCACTGAGGTTTAAATAACACCTTAGGTCCACAGTCAGACCTCCACTGGGGTGCTTGGCCACAACCACACTGAAGCCCCACTCCATGCGCAAGGAATGTCAGCAGTGCACTGGGCCATCCATCTGCCAATCACCCCCTCCCTGCCCACCCACCCCCCCACCCCCACCCCCGAAACCCTGGATGGGTCCAGTGCTTTATGTTCATCACTTCGCTACGTCCTTTGAACCACCCAGGGGGCTGAGCATGTGTTAACCCCATTTTCACAAGTGAGAATCCTGAGGTTCAGAAAGATAAATATCTCACTCAAGGCACACAGCCAATGAGTGGAAAGCCATTTCAGGCTCCTGGCTTCCTCATTGCACTGTCACACCTCTCTGACGTGGCAGGGTTTCCATCTGAGTCAGCTGTGGTGAACATTAGGAATGGTCAACCTGCCTTGTGGGGACATTCCTGGGGGACCCCAATAGCTGGGGAGTTTAAACTGCTGTAGGAAGGAGTAGAGCTTGTCAGTTGGGAAACTCCAGGAATTCTAGGCTTCTAAGCCCACAAGAAAACCCAGCCCTACTTGACAGCCTCACGCTACGCGTACCCTGCTTGGTTTTGGCTGAGCTGGTCTTCGTTGCGGTGCGCAGGCTCTTCGTTGCAAAGCGGGCTTCTCTCTAGTTGCAGCGCATGTGCTTAGTTGCCCTGGGGCATTGGGAACTTAGTTCCCCAGCCAGGGATCGGACCCATGTCCCCTGCATTGGAAGGCAGATTCTTAGCCCCTGGACCACCAGGGAAGTCCCTACCTTGCTTGTTTTAGAATGGAAATGTTCTTTCCTAGAAGGATTGTGTGGTCCACCACCACTCCATGAAACACCAGTGTTCCACCCATTACAGAAACCAGGACTCCATAGAATGGAGGCTGAATCTTGTTGCTATGGCAATGAGATAGGCTGCTATGGGAACACGACAACCTGCCCTACCCCCATCTCTACTCAGAAACCGTCCTCCAGGATCTCTCAAATTATTGGTACTGCTGTGAGCTCATGTCCTAGCATGCATGACAGGGTGATGCTGTTGATATTTCATCCCCCAAACGACCTGGGGTGTGTGTCCCTGTACCTCTGGGAGAGGAATCATAAACTCAATAGCTATTTTGTTAAGTGAGTTATTCTCCTATTCCCTGGACCAATCCTTTCTCTGATGAAGTCTATGCGTAGGAAGAAGCTAATGGTCTCTAAAATCTGCTCTTAGCCAACCTAATTTTACAAAATTTCCTGTGATCTCCCCTAATTTCTCCTCATGACCTCAAGTTTAGGCAGATAGGAGGCAGAAGTGTGTGTGTGTGTGTGTGTTGCTTCAGGGGCAGGAGAGTGAAATGTGTTCTCTGGTATAAGAAGCAGGCCTGTGTGTGAGAAGGTATGTGTAAGAGGGGTAAATATGAGAAACATACATGTGTCTGTGTGACGCTGTGTGTGGTGTGGCCCCTCTAACTACATTTCAGGCCTTACTAGCTCCCACTGCAACCCAAGTGCTCTCCAGGATCTCTGTTCTAGCTGCTTCAGTGGGTAGCAGAAGAGCTGGATCCACCTGTCCTGATCTTCCTGCCCAGAACTGTGCCTGTGAGACTCAAGGCTTTGCAGTTCTTGACCCCATGTGCTGTGAAGGGATGGGGATCTCCATGGGGTGAAGGGGTTTTTGGTTTCATGAGGCTCCCAGCCTGACTCTGAATTGATTGGAGGGAAGGTACAGGCTGTGAGGGGCCCCGGGGACTCCCATCTACCTCCCAAGACTTCTGGGTGGACTCAGAGAGCTAGGGCACCAGAGCCCAAAGACTTGGAGGTAGGGCTGCCTAGGGTCTCTCAAACCCAGTCCTTCCTGGGAACTCTAGACAGTCCCCAAGGGGCAAGAAACCAGGAGGACCTGGGCATCCTTCCCTGGGGAATGGGAGGTAGGAGCATCTCTTTCCATATTCCTTCCATTTTGGTAAGTCTGTTGCACTAGTAGGGAAGTGGTCTCATGCCCCTAAGCAAAGGAATATGGAGGGCGGGGGTGGGAGGGATGCAGGGGGACTTCTGCCTCTAGTATCACTAGTAATATATTAACAAGCAATTTTTTAGTCCTGTAGTGTGCCAAGCACAGGGCTACTCCATTTCAACCTCACAACAACTGCAAGAGGTGGGCAGTATTCTTGGAGAAGTCAAGTGGTGCGCCCAAGGTTGGCTGGCAAGTTAGGGAGCCCAGAGTGAGACTCACATTCTAATTCCACGTATCATAATCTTCCTACACGCTACAGTCTTTCCTTTTTCTCTGTCCCTGCTGTGTGGCAGAGCCAACCCTCTTCCTGAATGATTTGTCTTGGGTAGCAGGTCTCTGGCAGCCAATGTCACTCTATCCCGATGCCTCTCCAACTTCTTTAATGACAACACAGGTGAGGTTACCAATCCCCAGAGCAGGTCTCCTCCCCTCAAACCTCCTGTTTGGGGTCAGGCATCTGACTTTTGCCCCTGTCTGTCTCCTTTCTCTGGAAGCAGCTTCCCCAGGTCCAGACTTGGTCATAGGGAGGCAAAAGATGTCAAGTCCCAGGGGAGTTAGTATGCCCTTCCTCGCCCTTCTTCCATTTTAAAACATCAGAGCCCAACAGGCTTCCATACTCCGCTCAGAGCAGGGAGCCTGGAGGCCAGCAGGACTGGTTTTGGTTGTTGGGAAAGCCAGAGCAAAACAAAAAGCCCCCAGTTTCATCCTCTTCTCGGGTTTTGCTTACCTATATTTTCTCTATTATCTGTCCAATAGAGTCTTAACAACAGTCTCATCCGCATGTTACCTTCACAAAATGTTTTAAAGGTACCACTTCTGACACAGTCATGTCTGCTCACACCCTAAGCCCCTTAAAAGATAGCAAAGGAACAAGAAAGGAATAGACTCCCAAGGACAAAGAGAAGGGAAAGGAAACCACAGCAGATGAGAAATGACAACCAGATATTGAAGATGGAAATTAGATGGAGGGCTTGGCAGAATGAAGGAAGCTACAACCTCAAAGCCAGCAGAAAGGTCTACTGAAGGGCCATAACTGATTCACCCCAAGGACCAAGTCTCGGTACTTGGAGCTACCTGGGATGAATTCTAGACTGAAAACAGGGGACTGGCTGGAAATCTCTACATGGAGAAGTTAGATTTCCTGAGTCCCCTGTCTCCAGCTAACACAGCCTGGCTACCCTGCTCCCCCATGAGGAAGAAGCTAGAGGCTTTCTCTCTCGAGGATTCAGTAGAGACCTCTAGTCAGGGGGTCACAAGCACAATGAGGATGGGGATAAAGAGAGTGTCTGACAAGAGGGAAAAAAGAGAGTAGACTGTGTGAAAGTCTGCCTGGGTGAGCCCTTTCCCAGTTTCTTCCCAGAATGCAGGGCACAAGGACCACCTCCCCAAATGGGAGAGAGAACGCCCCAAAGAAAAGACCGACAGATACTGCCATTGAAGGGTACCTACCTTTGTCCGTTTGGGCTGCTTTAACTAAGTACCACATACTTGGTGGCTTATAAACAACAGAAATTTCTTTCCCACAGTTCTGGAGGCTGGGAATTCCAAAATCAAGGGACCCCGGATTCAGTGCCTGGTGAGGGCCCGCTTTCTGCTTCATAGATGGCTATGCTTTTGTTGTATCCTCACGTGACAGAAAGGAGCAGGGAGCTCTCAGGGGTCTCTTTTATAAGGGCTACTAATCCTATTCATGAGGGCTCCACCCTCATGACCTAATCACCCATGAAGGCCCCCCACTGCTTAATATCATCACATGGAAGGTTAGGATTTCAACATATGATTTTGGGGGGCACAAACATTCATTTTATGGCAGTGCTCCAGGGAAAATCTGCTCAAAGCCCCCATCTAGAGTGGGGTACACCAGCTGTGAGCCTTGCCCCTGCATACCGAGTTTCTAGGCCCCTCCACCTGTCTGTCTTAGCCCTGAATGGAGAGCCAAGTTGTCCCAGGAGCTTGAATAAAACCTCTAGTTTGGAAGAGAAGACCAAAGCAAACAACACAGAGAAACCAGAGACACCAAGAAAAAAATTAGTCTGTAATTAATATCCTCAGAGGGAAAAAAAAATTTTTAAAAAAATGCTCAGAGGGCATAAGAGAAAATTTTGCACTCATAAAACAAGTAGTGGGGGCTTCCCTGGTGGCGCAGTGGTTGAGAATCTGCCTGCCAATGCAGGGGACACGGGTTCGTGCCCTGGTCTGGGAAGATCCCACATGCCACGGAGCAGCTAGGCCCGTGTGCCACAACTACTGAGCCTGCGCGTCAGGAGCCTGTGCTCCGCAACAAGAGAGGCAGCGACAGTGAGAGGCCCGCGCACCGCGATGGAGAGTGGCTCCTGCTCGCCACAACTAGAGAAAGTCCTCGCACAGAAACGAAGACCCACA